GGAGCACAATTTGTTGGCTCTGCCCAGGCTGGAGCAGCCACCATGTCCCTCACTGGGCTGTCTCTTGGCTCTCCAGAGCATGGGCTCCTCTGCGTGGGGCCTGGGGGGCACAGAGCAGCCAGGGACTGAGGACATTGCAAAGAGAGCTTTTAAAATCATGAAATGATTTTTTTCTTCCCCTATCTCTTCATTCAGTCTTGTTCCCATTCCCTCCGCCCAGTGTCTCTGTAGGATCTCCTCTGATTTAGCACTGATTACAAGTTTTAATTCTCCCACATTAAATAAACAGAAAGCCTCACTGAACCTCTCCTTATCTCGTAGCTGTCATTCGATTGCACTTGAGCCGTGCTGCAGCTCATAGCGGGTGTTGGGTTCATGATCTGCTGGTTTGGCACAAGCAATCCCTCGTTTTGGAGGGTGTTTCCTGAGAGGTGTGTGTTGAGGTGGGTTCTGCCAGCAGGGCACAGTGCTGGGACAGGGCTGGGGTGCTTGGGTGTGATGAGCCACGGAGCCATCACGCTCATGTCCACCCAGTGCCACCAGCGTGTCGATAGAGCAAGGCCAAGGGTTGGAATGTGGCCGGCTGCTTGTTTTAAAGCCAGGGCACCACTCGAAGTGGGATTCAAACCAAGGATGCTTGTGTAGGGTCTATTTATTAAGAGTATTTTCCCATCCCATAGCCATGTTGCCACAACAGCAAGGAGGGGAGAAGCACTGTGAAGTTTTGGGTAGCCAGATGCGGTTGGCAGCCGCTGGGAAGTGAAGGTGCTCCCGGACAGGTCCTCACTTCTCACCATGACTTTGGCCACACACACCTTTCTGCTGGAGCTGGTCAGGGAGGAGGAGATGGTTCTGCTGCATGTTCCTGCCCTTTCTCCTGCGGGCGGGCAGCGCTGGTGATGCTCATCACGGCGGCTGATGCAGAGAGCTGGGGGTGCAGCAGGACTGCTGCGGGTCCTCCTGTGGGGTGTGCGAACACGTGGGTCGGAGGCACCCGGGCTGCTCTTTGCCAACCGGCTGCTCCGGGCACGTGCCTTTCGCGTGCATCCCGAGCATCCCGTGCTTCATGCACTGCAGCAGGGAGGAGCAGATGCACACAGCAAAGCCAAACCAAACAGGGTCCAAGAGCCAAACGCGGCCGGGTTTGCTCAGCAGCATCCCAGGACAAAGCTCTGAGCATGGGTTCTGTCTTGCTCGGAACAGAGCAGAGGAAGCTTCCGATTCTCCCTAAGCAGCACTTAGACTCACGACAGGCGCTCTCGGGAGCGGCTCCTTTTCACTTCAGACGCAGCCTTTGGAAAAGCACTTGCACAACGACGTGAGCGTGGTTGACTCTGAGCATCGAAGCACTGGATTGAGGCCCCCCCTCCGCCCCGGTCGATCTCTGCTGACTTTACCTGCGGTTCTTACGTGCTGTACTGTGTGTGTGTGTGCGTGGCGGGGCGTGGGAGCTGCCCGGGCTGCGACACCAGGGCAAAACCCTCTGCTGCGAGGCGCTGGTCAGTAGTGTCGTCACCAAGCCATGGAACTCCTCTGTAGTGTTGAGTGATAACTGTGACTAAACCGTTCCTGAATGATTCCGAGGTTATTTTTCTCTTCTTTCTGTCGTTAATTCTTATTACCACTTTTTGGGGGGAAAAATATAAAAAAAAAAAAAAAGGAAAAAAAAAAAAGGGTGAAAAAGAAAAAAAAAGGCAGCTTTGATTTCCAGATGTGCAATTCACTTGTGAACAAAGTAATTCTGACAGTAATTCTCAATGTATTTTACATTCTCTTCAAAGCAAGAGCTGTTTTGCCCTGATGTCATTTCCAGCCTGCAGAAGATGTAATTTAAAACATATATATATTGTGCTTGCAAGAATCATAAATCTGTGCATCCTTTGTCATTCCTTTTCCCATTGTTACAGGACAGATCTGATTTAGGGTTTGGTTGTTTTTTTTTCTCCTTTAGGACTGTATAGTGTTTTTTTAAATCAATTGTAAATGTCTGGTTTTCATATAATGTTTAAAAAACATTGAGAAAGAGGATGGTGCTTGTTCCATATCATTCTTGATTGTATATTGCTTCTGTTATGTTTATAAGTAAACTGTGCATGACTTGTGTTTAGCAGTCATTATTGTGTCTGTTTGTGGAATTTTTATGGAGAGGACAAGAATTCCGTAGATGCACTTATTGTAAATGTGATTAGACTTCGCGTCCGAGGCTGGGAGCCTCCAACTGCCGAGGAAGAAGACGAAAAGTGTTGGCAGTTATTAATTAATATGAAATCGCTTTGTTGGGAGCATAATGAAATAAAAGAGATGAAGTGTAGAAAATAATTAAAAGAGCGATTTTACACATTTCCTTTTGATGCTTGTGATAAAAGATTCAAATGTACTTGTGTAGAGAAATCCCTTTAAAATAATGAATAGAAAAAAGCTGATTTTGAGGTTAATGCTGTAGAATAGGAATGTATACCAAATGTAATCTTTCCAATGCTACAATGAATTTATACATGAGATTGATATGCAATAAACCTGTGTGCTTTTATAAGCAGTGGTCCTGGGAGCTTTATTTTCTTGGTGGGAGGGTAGGAACAGCACAAGGTGCTCCGGGGGGTTTGGGTGCATTACTATGTGCTTTGCTGAAGGGAAGGTGTAAGGATGGAGAAGCAGGAATTGAAGGGGGATGCAATAGGAATGGGAACTTGTGCAGGAGCTTGTTTGGCAGGAATAAGCTGCCTGCTGAAGAGCTGGGTGTCAGAGCTGTCTGCCCAAATCCCTGTTCCCTTCCTCCTCAATGCTCAGGGATGGAGGGAAGCAAGTGCTTGCAGCGCATCCTCCTGCAGCCCCGCATGGGGCTCACTGTGAATCCCACATCCCTGGTGCCAGCATCATCCTGGAGTTCCCTCAGTGTGGGGATGGGTTCCAGGGAGGTGCGGAGGGAGGAAGCAGCCCCGGCAGGTCCACATCTCATCCAGGGCTGCATGGGATGGCTGTGAAGTGTCCAGAGCTGGCAGAACGCCTCTGTATTGACTACAACAGCAGTGCTGAGCCCTCGCAGCCTGTGCAGCACCTTTGTTGTCTGATGGTTTATGTGCTTGGTTTATAAGATGTCAAAAAGGCTTCACCCACTGAAATGGTGGACACTCCCCTTGCTGCCGAGGTACTGAAGGACCAGGCACTGCTACTGATCCTGTGTCCTGCCAAAGGGATGCTCCAAAGGGAGCGAGAACGTTCTGGGGTGGGGGAATGGGTGAGCAATGAGCTCTCTAAAAATGTCAAGACTATTTCCTTCCAGCCTCGGAGCTGAGAGTGAGGGAACAATCCAGTGACAGCGGTCAGATGTTTCAGCGGGGGCCCTGGGAGCAAAAATGACTTGAAAGCAGGGTCTTTGAACTAACAACACGCATTACAAAACTGATGAATGGTCCCTGCTTCAAAAAGTCATTCATCGTGATCAAATGATGGTATCCTGCATACAGCGTAATGGCCCTTCCCTGGAGGTTGCCGTGTAAGGGGCTCAGTCTTAGCCGAATCCTTGAGTAGAAACCCTCCGCCTCTCCGTGACGGCTGCAGCCTTTCTCCTCATTAGCCCCGGAGGGAAAGGCGAAAAATCTCTGGGAGAAGAAAGCTCTGATAATGGAGCGATTGTCAGGCAGGGCCTGGAACAGTCTTTTAACAGAGTATTGCTGACAAGTGGACTTTGTCATCCAGAAAGCACTTGAGATTCACCACGACCCAGCGAGAAAAAGGCTCCCATTTTAGGGCGGGGGGGAATCAGAGCAGGGGCAGAAGAGGAGGTCACCGGGAAGCCCGTTCCCAGTGAAGGCGCTGAGCGCTGGGAGCGGCCGCAGCCTGACCTCGGATCCAATCCCGGAGGCTGCAGCTCCCGGCGCAGCGTGTGGCACCGGAGAGACCCGGGGGCTGCGTGTGACCTCTGCAGCCTCCAGCTGCCAAAGCGAGCCTGAAACGTGCCCTTGGGGAAGGCTCCTGAAGGGGAGACCTTAGAACGGCTCCAGTGCCTAAAGGGGCTCCAGGAACCCTGGAGGGGGGCTTTGGACAAGGATGGAGGGACAGGAAAGGGGAACGGCTTTAACGTGCCCGAGGGGAGATGGAGGTGAGCTCTGAGCCCGCAGCTGCGGGGACGCGCGCATGGAGCCCAGGCGAGCTCCGGTGCCCCCGGCTGCAGGGGCCGGCACTGCCCGGTCCCTCCCTGGGGCGGTCCCGTCCCGCCCCGCCGGGTCCGAGGGGCGCGGGGCCGGGCCGGGCTTTGCGGTGGGACCGGGGCGGGGGGGACGCGGGGCTGCGGAGCGGGCGGGCTCCGGGGCAGGGGCGGTGCAGCCCCAGCGGGACCCGGCCCCAACGCCGCTTCCCCGCCCCGGCCGGGCCCGGGAGGAGGAGGCGGGGCCCGGCGCCGGCAGCGCCTCTTCCGCGGAGGGGAGCGCGGTGAGTGCCGGGCTTGGGTCCGTCCCAGCGCGGGGGCCGGGGCCGGGGCCGGGGCCGGGGCTGGCGGCTCCCGGCACAGCGGGGCCGTGCGCGCTGCGGCTGTGAAGCTCCGGGAAGCGGGGTCCAGCCCCTGCGCGGTGCCGGGCACGGGGGTTGCTGCAGCGCCGCTGGGACCGGGTGCGCCCGTGTCTCGTTACCGGGTGCTTCAGGTGGGACTCGCCCTCGGGAGGGGGTGAAGGGAGCCACGAGGCTTTCCCGGGATGGTTTGCGGAGCTCTGGCCGTGAGGGCTGTGTCCCGCAGCCAGGGGCAGGCGGAGGAGCAGCACCTTGATCAAATGAGCTTTTGTGGCTGGGTCTGTCCTGTCCTTCTGCCGCTCGCTGATGCAGGGAAATGTGTTCGAGTCTTGGTTTCTGCTTCCTGGTCTGTGGCGTTTGAGGAGGACCTGCTCGGAGGTGGAGGTGGAACAGAATGTGTCAGCCGAGAGGAATGAAACCCTAGTTTTACCTCAGACTAGGCAGTGGGGTAGGCAGTGGGGTGAGAGGCTCTGTTTGCTCTGTAGGTGCGCGGGGTGTGGGTGGTGCAGGAGGAGCCGAGTGAAGTTTCACCCCATGAGGAGCTGCAGGGACTGGGACCGGTGGTTTTGGTTGTGTGGAGCCGCTCCCCGGAGCGGTCTGGGACAGGAGCAAGCTTTGGGGAGCACAAGGCTTGTAGTGAGGCGCCCGTGGGGCTTTCACAGCACCTCGAACAGGAAGGGAAAGGCCTGGGCGCATCCTGCACCGCTCTGCATGGCAGGGAGCTGCAGGAGAGGCGCAGGGGTGGTGAGAGCATCGCTGAGTGTGTGTGAATGGGCTCCGTCTGCGTACAGCATCCCGGGAAAGAGGAGCCTATCGCGAGGTTCCCTGTGGGAGCTACACATAAATGCCCTCTGCAGTACTAGAAAGTGCTCATCTGTCTCTCTGTCTTACAGTGTTCGGGTTCCCTGTGCCACCACCATGTCTCGGAGCCCTCCCGGCAGCTCTGTGGACGACAAGGCCTTCCTCCTGGAGTACCGGTGCCACCCCGTGCGCCCGGAGCCCCCCAGCCCCAGCGGGAGGCCCAGCTCCACCACGGTGCCCGATGCCACCTCCCTGCTGGTGATGGGCTCCCCCCCCGCGGCCGAGCCGCGCCGCATCGTCCTCAGCACGGACAGCCCGGCCGCGCTGAAGGTGGGGACCCAGCAGCTCATCCCCAAGAGCTTGGCCGTGTCCACCAGGACCAAGCACAACCCGGCCCGGCTCCAGAGCTCTGCGGCGAGCAGGGAGCCGCTGAGCCCTGACCCGAAGGGGGCTTCGGTCCCCAGCCTCTCCCTGGAGGCAGAGGAGGAGGAGGAGGACGGTGGGGGGGCCCTCAAGCGCAACCTGAGGAACATGTCCTACCGCGCGGCCATGAAGGAGCCGGGGCCACCAAACGCCGTCTCCTCACTGAAGCCTGTGTCCGAGGAGGGCAGTGCCCTGCCTGCCCACAGCCCCGGCAGGAGCAAGGTGGGTTCTGCACCCAACCGTGGGGATTGATCTTGTGCTGGTGCTGAGCGGCTGCTGGGTCTGCAGGGCCCCTTTCCTGCAGCTCCTGTTGGTTCCAGAGCTGTGAGCCCGGCGTGGAGCTGGCCGGGCTCCTGCGGCTGGTGACGACTCCTGCCCTGGGAAGCCTGCCTGTCACCAACCGATGCTGCAGGTCCCCGGGAAGAGCTGACATGGGAAGGAGCCGGCTGCTCCGCGCTTCTGCAGGGTGTCTGCAGGGAGGGGTTGGTCGGGTGTGCGGCTGGTTGTGCTCAGACATGGGTGAAGCAGGCCTGGGGACAGGGAGACTCCGGTACAGGCAAAGTCCAGGTGTGAGACACAGACGTGAAGGGCAGCGGTGCCACTACTGAAGGGTTTTGATGGTGACCCCGATAACACGGGGTGAAAGCTGAGTCACTTGGGGAAGGCAAATAGGAGCTCGGACAAAACGAGAGCGAAAGAGCAGGGCGGTGTTTGCTGAGCGGCCGCGCCGGTGACTTTCCCAAAGGAGCTCGGTGCTTCCCAGGGCTGCAGCGTCTGCTCCTCTTCTTCCTCCTGCAGAGAACCTTCGGGCGGAAACGGGTGCAGAAGCGTGGTGGCTCCTTCAAGGACCGTGAGTGCTGCGTCCCTCCCGTCTTCCCCAGAGCATCCAGCATCCCCTCTGCCTCGCAGCCCCGCTTGGAATCACTGCAGGTCCCTTTGCCACCTGCGCTGCTGCATGTCCCTGGCCTGGGGCTCTTGCTTTGCCTCCATTTCCCCACCAGCAGGAGACCACTGCGGCCCTGCTTCCTGCTCCTGGAGGGTGATGACGTTCCAGTTGCTGGAGCGCTCCCAGCTCGGCAGACGCGGGGCAGCCTGCGGGCAGTGGGAGCTGCTGGTTCACTGGTGCTGTGCAAAGTCCAGCCTGGGCGTGCTGGCGCCAGCCCTGGCTCACAGCGCTCAGTGGATGGAATGGAGGCCGTGGGCTGGGAGAGGCTTCGCTGACCTCGTGCCTCTTCTTGTGCAGAGCCCCGGCTGTACCAGGAAATCCGGGAGAGGGGCCTGAACTCCGTCAGCCATGAGTCAGACGAGGACTTGCTGGAGGAATCCATCCCAGAGGAGCCGTCCCCTGCGGGTGCTGCTATCGTGGTGCAGAGCTATCGCCCAGCACAAGTGACCTGGAGCCAGCTCCCGGAGGTAGGGCCCCTGCTCGTGATGTGTGTATTTAAACGCTCTCCAACAAGCTGGGAGTGGATGGTTCTGCAGCATCAGTCTTTGCAATGGGATGGCCTGGGGCTGTCCAGCCCTGGCTGGGACACGCAGGGTCCTGTCCAGGCTTGCTGGGGTGCTGGTGGAGCTGCTGTGGTTGTGCTTGTGTGAGGGGGAAGGCAGGTTGTCCTGCGGGTACCGGGGAAACAGGGTGCCCAGAGAAGCTGTGGCTGCCCCATCCCTGGCAGTGCTCAAGGCCAGGTTGGACACAGGGGCTTGGAACAAGCTGCTCTATGGAAGGGGTCCCTGCCCGTGGCAGGGGTTGGAGCTGGAGGAGCTTTAAGGTCCTTTCAACCAAACCCCTCCGTGCTTATGCCGCAGAGCAGCACCAGCTGTAACCGGTGGGCGATGCTGCGGGTTGTGAGGAGGTGGGCAGAGCCTCAGACCGCACTAGAGGGCGTGCAAGGACCACGGCTCGGTGGTGAAGGGTCTGCCCGTCCCGGCCTCGCTGCTCATCCCGGCCTTCCCCCGCAGGTGCTGGAAGCGGGCATCCTGCAGTGGATATCCCCCGAGGAGCGCAAGCGGCAGGAGGTGAGAGGACCCTCGGCAGTGCCCGCAGCGCAGTGTAAACACCGGTGGGGTGCGTGTGGCTGAGTCCGGGCCCTCTCGTGCAGGGTTCAGCTCCAAGCAGGGCTGGGCTCAGCTCCTGCATGCAGGATCCCTGGTGCTGGTACCTCTGGAACTGGGCAGCACTGAAGCACTCGCCTGCTCGTGGTGGTGGGGATGAGGCAGCTCTGTTGGGTGCTGATGGGAAATAGCCACTGGAAGGGAAAACATCTTAGTGCTGTAGGTTATAACTGACTGAGGGTCCCAAACCACACTGAAGTTATTGGTGTAGGCCAGGCAATGCAGGAGATGATACAGGGAATGCTGTACTGTTGGAGCAAAGTGTTTCCAGCGGCTTCATGCAAACTGGATGTAAACATGATGTAGTAAGTTCTAATTCACTGCCTTGGTTGTGCTGTTGCATCTTCACTGCCCCGCTTTCTTTAGGCAATGTTTGAGATCATCACTTCTGAGTACTCCTACATGCACAGCCTGAGCGTCCTAGTGTGCCACTTCATGAGGTCGGAGGAGTTGAAGGAGACCATGACCCAGACAGAGCACCACCACCTCTTCTCCAACATCAGCGACATCCTGACGGTCAGCACGAGGCAAGTGGAGCTGGGCTGCAGAGAAGGGATCCAGAGCCTTGTCCCATCTGGGAAAACGGGGAAGTGGCAGTGGGAACATTGTGGAGCACACATTAGTTTGTCAAGCCCTAACCTGTCATGTGGTGCAGTTGGTTGCAATTCCCTTCTTAGGTTCTTTGAAGACTTGGAGAAGCGGTACCAGGAGCACCTCCTCATTCCTGACATCAGTGACATCGTGGAAGAGCACGCCTTGAACCACTTCAGTCCCTACGTCAGCTACTGCTCCAACGAGGTCTACCAGCAGAGGACACTTCAGAGGCTGCTGTGAGTACTGCTGTGTGCTCGGGCTTGCAAAGGAGTTGCTTCTGCAGGGTCTCTGGGCTGCAGGGCTGCTGCAGGGCTGCTACAGGGCTGCAGATGGTACCAGGAACTGCATGTGGCTCCCTCAGCCGTGTTTTCTTCCTTTTCCCTAAGGAAGGCTGCTTCCTTTCTGAGCAGAGTTCAAGTTCTCGACCTCTGTGTGCCTGTGTCAGGTGATTGGGATGTGATCTGTGTTGTGCTGTAAGAAGGGTGAAGGATGGGGATAAATGGGGACACTATAGGTGTCTATAAGTGTACCTGTGTGGTACATTAGAACATGCATAGAGGCTCCTCATCCTCAGATCCTACTGGTGGTACAGGTCTATTTTGTGTCTGCTGTTGATACATCTATGGCTTTACTTGCCTTTTGGTGGATGCAGCATCTCTAGGTGCTTGCCCAGCATCCACTCATGGGTCAGTCTGTTCTTCACTCAGAGCTCATGCAGCTGCTGCTGAGCAGCAGGGCAGTGCCTCCACTGTGCTGCACTGCTCCTGCATGGAAAGCTACTGGAAAACCTTGACACTGAAGAGCAGAGCTAATGGAGCTTTCTTGTCCTGTTCCAGAGCCACAAACCCCTTATTTAAAGAGACCTTGAAACAAATTGAAAGGAAACCAGAATGTGGAGGCCTGCCAATGATCTCATTTCTCATTCTCCCTATGCAGAGGGTAACCCGGCTTCCTCTGCTGTTAGATGTAAGTCACACAGTGGCATTGCCTGGCACCTCTGAAGAGGCGGCTGTGTTGCACCCTTCTTCAGCTTGCTGAGCACTGGGAGCAGCTCAAGCATCCCAGGGAAGCAGCCGATGTGCAGGTCCTGTCTTGCACTGTCACTAAAACATCTTACCTTGACGTTCTAGACTGTCTGTCAGAAAACGAAGGCGTGCACTGCAGCCTATGGAGCTGCCACCAGAGCCCTGAAAGCCATCAGCAAGGTGAGGCCTGGCTGCCACCTCTCCACCTTTTCTCCTCCCTGCGACCCGTTCCATCACCGGGCATGAGCCTGCCGTACTGGACTCAGTGTTCCTCCCTGCATCGGTTCACTTGAGATGTCTCTTCTCCGATAGCTGCTGGGTGTTCACATCTCCCTTGCTCACCTTTTTTACCTGATCTTGGTTTTTTCCTTCTTCTTCTCATCCTTTCCTCTTTGGTCCCTCCTTTGTCCTTGCTGGACCGTCGTGATCAGGATGGCAGAGGAGCCAGGGCACTCGGTAGCCACCCTGGGGGTGGGTGAACAGTGGTGATGCTGCACTTGCCTGTGGAAGGCTTCTGTCCTGCCTTCCATCTGTCTGATTGTTCATCCTCCTCTCTTAACCCCCTCTCTTCGATGATCAGTTCCTCCTCTTCGTACTGCTGCCTGGTGAAGCTCACTTTTGGTGTGGTTTTGCTTTGGTTCTTCTCCAGGCTGAGCGAATGTGTCACCTCTCTCCTGGAGATCTCATGGCAGGAGAACCTCCAGCTGCCTTTCCCCAAACCTGGCTTGAGCCCTGTGTTTGGGCTTGGCTGTTTCTCCTGCCTGCGGCAGGGCAGCAGTGCTGGTGTGCAGGGTGACCCTTGTGGTGCTGTTCTGTTTCCAGCTGGTTAAGAACTGCAATGAAGGCGCTCGTGCTATGGAGAGGACGGAGCAGATGTACACCCTGCAGAAACAGCTGGAATTCGGGAAGAGGAAGGTAAGGGGAAATCCGGGCTGTGCTGGTAGAGGGGCCCGTCCCAGGCGTGTGGGACCTGTGCTGGGAACCCTGCCAGGAAGGCTTGCCCGTGTGCCAGGCAGCAGTCAGACTTGCCCTGGATCCCTTTCAGCCGTTCCCGCTGATTTCCGCGTCCCGCTGGCTGCTGAAGCGGGGGGAGCTGTACCTGCTGCTCCCCGAGGAGGCCGGCATCTTCCGCCGGGGCGCCGGCAAGCTCTGCTACCTCTTCTCCTTCAACGACGTCCTCATCATAACCAAGAAGAAGAGGTGGGTGTCCGGGGTGGTTCCTTTCCCTGGAAAGGGATTAAAATCTCCATTTCCCCAGCAGCACGCAGGGAAATCTCAAGGGTATCTTGGGCTTTCAATTGAGATCGGGAAGGGAAGCAGCCAGCTCTGCTGCTCTTGGCCTTGCTTATGTTTGTGGGTGGCTCGCAAGCCTGCAGAGCCGTGTCCCCCCTCGAGCATCAGGTCATGTCCTGGCTGTGGCAGTCACCTCAGTGATGCCGATCTTCACCCACGGGGCTCTGAGCAGGGGAGGGAGCTCGGTCCCCACCGGCAGCATCCACATGGCTGAGGTTCCGCTCCCATCCTTGCCGCAGCGAGGAGAGCTACTCTGTCCTGAACTACGCCACGCTGGACCAGGTCACGGTGGAGAAGATGGAGAGCACGGATCCACCTTCCCCTCCTCCCGGCAAGCCCGGGAGCGGCGGCACAGCCCGCGGCACGGCCGGGGGGTTCCTGCTCCGGGTGCTGATGGAGAAGGACAGCGAGGGCCGGCGGGAGGAGGTCGTGCTGTCGGCAGAGACGCTGTGAGTGGGATGCCACAGGGCGCTCCTTGGTGCTTGTGGGACAAACTGGTTCCTTGGAAATCCCCCTGAAGTTCTGCACCTTTTCCTGCTCGCATGAAAGGGGGACGTGTGCGGGTTTCTTCCTGGTTCTGCTTCTGTCTCTCTGATTTCCCTTCTAATTCCCATATAATGCTTCCTGTGTCCAAATCAAGCAGTGTGTGCTGCTTCCAAAATACCTGAACACTGAAGCTCTGATCAAATGATTGTCCGGTCGGACTGCCCTTGAAAGCCTCTATCCTGCTGGGAATTTCCAGCAGCACGGATGCTGTCTCTAAGGCTCTCTTTGATACGGATTTCCCCTCTGCCAGGAGTGACCGTGCCCGGTGGATCGCTGCGCTGATGCACAGGGAAAAGGAGAAGCCGGACACAACTCCTAAAGGAGGTACTGGTTGTGCCAGGGCCTGGGCATTTGCAGGCACAGGGTTTCTCCCCTGCTCTTACCTGCTCCTGCTGGAGAAGGAGCCGAGGATGTGTGTTGATGGAAAGGAGAACTTGGATACCAAGCCTTGCTCCTTAGGAATTGCCTCCCATGAAGTTATCAGTCACGATAAACCTTAAATACATTCCCTCTGAGGCACAATGAATTCCAGGGATGCCTCAGGCTGTTGGGATTTGCTTCCCCTCCCTATGTTCTTGGAGGGGCAGGGACAAGGAGGGAATGGAGCTGTGGAGCCTGAGGGGGTGGGCACCCAAGCTGGGCTGCAGCAGGGGTGCGGGGCTGTGGGTCCTGGCCTCATCCTCTCCCTGGGTCCCTGCTGCCCCTGTGCTCTGCAGATCTGAGCCAAGTGGAGATAACGCAGCCCTACCTGGCTAAGCAGGCGGACGAGATCTCCCTGCAGCAGGCGGACGTCGTCCTGGTGCTGGGGGGAGAGGATGGTGAGTGCCAGCGGGCAAGGGCGCTGCGGCTGGGGAGGGTTTGCCTTAGGTGGAGCTATGGGAGGGGGAACAGCTCCAGTGATCCCAGTGGAGCGGGGTTATAGCAGTTGCCAGAAGCTTCCAGGAGGCTGTGGCTGTTGGTGGGGTCCGTGTTGCTGCCTGCTGCCTTGTCCCAGTGGATGATGGTGGGTCCCTGGCGGCTGATGAGGGTGGCACTGCTACAGGTGGCTACTGCGTCAGCAGTGCCTCCTGTGCGCGGGCTGTGTCTGGCAGCCAGCAGCAGAGACCTCAGAAGTGAGAAGCCAGCCCCAGAGCAGCAGTAAATCAAAACTGCTCCAGTGCAAAGCCTTCCCTGGGTGCCCCCAGCCGGCACCTCCATGGGCCGGGCCGGGGGGGTGATGCAGCCCTCCCAACACCCCCAGCAGCCACAGCCGTTCCTCGCTGTGTGACCGGCTCTGTTCTCCCCAGGCTGGTGCTGGGGGGAGCGGCTCCGGGATGGGGAGCGGGGCTGGTTCCCGCAGGCCTGCGCTCGGCGGATCACCAGCCGCGCCGCCGTGGAGTGCAACGTGCGCCGCATGCAGCGGCTGCGCCTCGAGACCGACGTGTAGCTGCCAGCCCAGCGAAGGTGCCTCCGTGGGACGCGGTGCAGGGGCCTTCAAACCCTGCGGACCGAGCCCAGAGCGAGCAGGGAGCGGGGGAGCCTTTGTCCTTGGGCTCATCTGTCTTGAGCAGCCACCGGCAGCAATTCTGGTTGCTCAGGACCGGGCTGGGTAGCGGCTGTGACAGCAGCTGATGAATGTGAGACCTGGCAGGCGGGCGCTGCTGCCCAGCGCTGATATTAATGACCTGGAACAGGCTCCAGGAGGCAGCCCAGGGCTTGGCTCCAGTTGAAAAGGCTGCGGCTGTGCTCGGGGCGCTGTGAAGGAGCTCGTGCTGCCGTCTCCATCCCTGCTGATGCCTGGGCCGGTGCCCGCTGTGCACCTGGCATGGGAGGAGCTGGGGCCGAGGGAGCACACCTGAACCCAGGAGCTTCAGGACCTTAAATCCGTACCCTCAGCTAGTCCTTGATGTTTTTTTCTCATGATTCCCCATTTTCTTCCTTCCCCCCCATTTCCTTCCCAGTTATTCTTGGCTCTGACCCTGCAGGCTGAGCAGTGCCACCACCTTTCAGCCACTCACTGACCCAGCCGGCAGCAGAGGCTGGTGCAGTCAAGAGTTGTTCTCAGGGAGCCAGCTCTGGCCAGAAATAGGATGCTCTGGGCACTGAGAAGCAATTGGCAAGCCCTGCTGTATGAGTGAGCCTGGAGCACAAAGGGGAGCGATGCCATAGATCACAGCTGAACCTAGGGACTCAGTCCTGCAGGAGCAGGACGTGGTCACAGAGGGTTGAACCTCAGCCTTGCCAAGGCAGAGCAGTCCCCTCTGCTCCCCTTCTCCCCCCAGAATTAGCACTGATAACGTGGTTAACAAAGCGGGCTGAGGCGGGGGGGTCTCTTGTCCCAGCTGAGCTGTTTGGATCTGGGTTTTCCATGGATGTTTAACACTGTAGGGCCTTTGGGGTGGGAAACAGTGGCTGCATTTTTGGGGTAAGGCAGCTCTGGGCACTGCCTGGGTTTGGATTCAGAGGGGCAGCGTTGCTGTAACAGGTCTATTTTCATTAAACTGTTAAAGGATCCCAATGCAATGCATGTTTTCCTTGTCCAAAAGGGACCTGTGTGCAATGGGGGCAGCATCCATGGGTGCCTGTGTTTGACCTGTTAGAGGTGATGGAGATGCCAGCTCCGTGTCACATCAACACCAAGGAGCCAGGTTTCCTCACTGTCAGCTCTAACAGGAAAGCATCCTTCTGGAGGCAGCATCCTTCCAGCCTCTGCTTGTTCTCCACATACACACATCTCAGGAACCATCCTTCAGAATCGCTGCCTAAAACCTGCTGTGCCAGGTGCAACTGACTGAGAGAGACAAGGTCAATCAAGATTAAGTGAGGCTTTCTGTTTATTTCTCTTAACTGTGGAAGAATTCAGGTTTTTCATCAGTTCTAAATAGAAGAGGTGGGATCCAACAGTGCAACACTGGCTACATGGAAAGAGATAGGCAAACACGGTATTAAGAAATATGAACAGGAGAACAAATCATGATATAAAAATACAGGTACAGAGTTCCTCAGACGGATGATTTATTCCCAGCCACAGCTGCAGCTCAGGCCCTTGTGCTGGGACAGGACAGGACGGATCCATCCCCATGGTTAAGGCCAGGGACGTGTCCGTGCTCTCCTGGAGCAGCTCCGTGGAGGCAGAGCCCTTCCCTGCCCCTGCGGGTGCCCGGTGGGACGCGGTGCCCTCGGTTGCCATCAGCCGGCTCCCTGCTGGCCCTGCAGAGCCCGGCGCGGGTGCTCGGCGCGGGGCTGGCGCTCGCTGCTGCCCAGGGAGCCCACAGAAACCTGGGTGCTCTGCCCCGGCCGCCTCCAGGCAGAGGTCACCGAAGGAGGGATGGTCTGGAGCAGGGGGCAGGGGCGTTTGGCACACACACAAACTCTTCCTCCTCCCTGGTTACCGATCGTTCACCACCCAACCTTAATGACACCGGTTTGGTCCTTCACGACGTCCTTACATTAACATCATTTCTTCACAACAGTGACATCGAACGCAAAAAATACTGTCAAGGAAGAAATAAAACTAGACCGGAATTCGCCCAACCTGACAAGTTCTGCACAGATCAAAATCAATCCCGTCGGAAAAGAAACAATCCTTTTATTAGTTTCAGTTGGCCCCTGTGGCAATAACTTAAAGGCCGAGTGCCCGGGCAGGGCTGGGCTGCAGCAGCGGCGGCAGAGGCAGAGGTGCTGGCTGGGGAGAGCCCGTCCCCTTCGCAGAGCTGGTGTCTGCTGCCATGGGCAGCGCTGGGGCTCTGCTCCCCAGGGCTTTGTGCAAATCGAGGAAGCAGTTGGGGCCGTGCTGGGCTCTTGTGTTCCTGGTTGCTGCAGGTGGCAGCCGAGGCTCTGCTGTGGCTCCATGCTCCCCACTGAGCCACGATCCAGCCGCTGTTCCCACCTCCATCCCCTTCCCAGTGCTGGGAACACCAAAATAACACGTCCTGGGTTGGGGTGGGAGCATTCAAGTAGGGGTCTGCATTTACTGGGCCAGGCAAGAGGTTTGTGTCTATCCACAGCGTATCTTGGATTATCACACTTAATTTAGGCTGCTTTTTCACGGGAGCAAACGTCATGGGATGGCGCACTCCTGGTATGAAAGACAGGCTCCTGCCCCCCTGAAAGCTCAGAAAGAGGGGGCTGCACCTCGGTGAGGATGGCACTGCCTGCTGCTGGACTGGTGGGGTGGGTCATGCTGCAGGCACCAGCTCTGCAGAGCTGTGGGCAAGGGCCAGAGCCCAACACCTCCAATAACTTGCAGTAAGAGACCATTGCAAATTCAGATTTAAAGATCCAGGGGAGGTGGCCCTTCCGCAGGAGGCACGATCCCAAGGAGAGCTGGGGGTCTTCAGCCATCAGTCCTGACACCACCAGTGCACAGCTTCCCGTAAGTATGGCTGCAGAAGCACCTGGTTTGGGCCATAATTTCAGTCCCCTCCCCAAGAACAGCACCCAAAAGAGAAGGGCAGCAATTTGCCAGAAGCTATCAAAGTCTGCTTATGAGAAGCAATGGCTTCTGAGCTGTTCCTGCTGGTGTCTGCCGGTGTCGGTGTGCGTGACGGGGAGCCCTGCACGTGCCATCGTGGTGGAACTGGTGACACTCGGTGCTCCAACCTGGCTCAGACAACTCCAAAAGCAGCAGCTTGGGCTGTCAGGACGCGGCTTGTAAACAAGTTCATTCAATAGGTCACTGACTCTTCAGGTGGCCGCTTGGCCACAGCGCGGGAGGTGGCTGCAGGCCCTAGTGCTCCCCTGGCCAGAGCCCACCCTGGGATGGAGATGAGCCGGTGGGCTTCACTGCTGAAAGGCAAACCGGGCTGGGTCAGGCACTGTTGGCTGTGTCTGCATCTCGGAGGGGAGATGCTCAAGGCTGACCCCCAGCACCACTGCTCGCAGCCAGGCTCTGCTGCTGCACCTTGGAGCAGCGGGTTTAGGTTGCTGCCTGCACCCCAGTCTGCAAGAGGCCACTTGTTGGTTGGTTACTGACCTGGGACTGAGGAGGGGTGCTCGGTCGATGGCAGACGGGGGGTACCACCTGCAAAGCAAGGCATATATCCATCCAGCATCCCAGCACCCGCAGGGGACTCACTCCAAGCCAGTGGGGTCAGCCGTGGTTAGGGCAGGGCATTGGGAAGTGCTACACTGTGCGGCTGGTTTTAGTTGAGCTAAAACTGCTCCCACAACCAAGCCACCAGGCCATGAGCTGCAGCCCAAGCACGGGTCCCACCGCACCCCTCCTCCTCTGCAGCAGGCTCTGCATTTGGGTCCCCCCCCGTTCAGCAGTACTCACTGTGGTGCTGCACCCACACGTTACCTTCCCGGCAGGTCGGTCCCGTGTACCCATGCAGGCAGAGGCACTGGCCGTTGCGAGCGTTGCAGTAGGAGCTGCTGGGGGCACACTGGCAGGGCAGGCTGCAGCCGGGGCCGTACTCGGTCGGTCGGCAGTCTGGGGAGGAGCAGGGAGGCGCTGGGCTCTGGGGCTCAGCCTGATGCTGCTGCTGGGCGCAGGCACCTCCCGCTGTGGGGGAGCCCGAGCGCAAGGGAAGGCAGAGATTTTGCCTTTCCCCCCGCCTGCTCTTGAGCTCTGGTGGCACAGGGCACCCCCAGGCTGACAAGGTGCTCCTCCTGCGTTGGATCCTCAGCCTTTTGGCTCTAAATACGAGGACACTGGAGGCTGGGGGAGCATTTGTATTCAGATCTGACTACAAATAGAGGCTGGCAAGGTGACCACTGTTGAGATGCCCTCTCACTACTTTGGGGGACACACACAAAAAGAGAAAGCCCCCTTCCATGAGCATTTAGCTCCAACAGGAGGGGTTTGCATCCACTTTAGGACTGGGTCCTCTTTTCCACCTTTCTGAGCACTGCTTCAACTCACCTGAGCCACACTTGAGGCCAGTTTTCCCTGGGGGGCACAGGCAGTGCCCCGTGGCCGGGTCGCAGGACGCGTTGCCGATGCAGTCACAGAGCTGCTGGCACCCCTCTCCGTACATTCCCTCCTTGCAGCCTGTTTTGGGAGGTGAGGTACAGCACATGCAGCACGAGATCCCACCTCGGGATCCCGCCTGTTCCCGGGAGGAGGACGGGTACCTGTCTGGCAGCGCTCGCCATGGAGCCCAGCGGGACACCGGCAGCGACCGGTGACGGGGTCACAGCCTGCTCCATGCTCACAGTCGCAGTGCTCCCGGCAGCCCGCCCCATGGAAACCCGGGGGACAACCTGGGGTGGAGCCGGATGGAGGGCTCGTTAAAGCACGGCTGGGGTGAACCCAGGCTCAGCTGTACTTAACTCTGCAGCAAAGCCTCCATCAGCCCACCAGAGAGAAGCAGTGAGCCTTTCTCTTGGAGCAGAACCCACATGTAGGCAGCTCTCTTTTGGATACACAACTGTAAGACGTGCAGCGGTGATGTGCATGTTCAGCTGCCTTGGAAAGGCACCTCCATATAGTGAACAGAATAGAGAATAGAAATTACCTTGTCTGTGACTATTCTGCTACCTGGGTGTGATTCCCTGTGAACACTGGTAAGAGAAGAGCCCAGTGCTGCACACAGCCATGTGTGTGACTGCAGCGGGTCACAGCTTGGTCCTACGGTCCTGCCCTCTGGAAGAGCTCTAGAAAGCAGCACCCCTTGCAAAGGCAGAGGCGTTTCTGCTGCCACAACTCACTGTGCTCGCAGAGGGGCCCGTAGTGCCCTGCGGGGCAGTGGCAGGCCCCGGTCCCCGGGTCGCAGGAGGCGTTGTGCAGGCAGGAACAGCGGAGCTGGCAGTTGGCACCGTACAATCCCGGTGGGCATTCTGCAGGGAAGATGCAGTGAGGCATCCCTGATCCCTTCTGTGCTTCAGAGGGATGTGATGGGGTAAGGCAGAACAGGCGCAGGCGGGGACAATGGGAACTGCACCCACTGTGGAACAGACTGAGTGGGCTCAGTTACTGGGCCCATGCATTGAAGTCAGGGTTACCTGACTCGCAGGACTCCCCGGTCCACCCGGGCACACATGAGCAGGAGCCATCGGCTGCATGGCACAGGCCCCCATTGCGGCAGGAGCAGGTCTGCTGGCAGCCCACCCCGAACCGGTGCTTCTCACAGCCTGGGGACCAGAGGCACACAGAGCACTTCAGACAGGAGCACCCCAGCACAAGCAGAGCTCCCCAGGTAAGGAAATCTGCTCCCACCCAGGACCTGTGTGTGCTGGTGACATTTACCTTGCTCACAGGTGGGACCAGTTCTTCCCGGTGGGCAAACGCAGTCACCGGTGATGGGGTGACAGGTAGCACCTTCCCCACAGGAGCACACCCCTGCACAGTCCTTGCCGTAGCGACCAGCGGGACATCCTGGAGGGAGGGAAACCTTGAGCTGCTTTGCTCACACGCAGACTTCCCAATGGAATGTGAGTACAGCCATGGGGACAGTGCAGGGCGTAACGTGCCACGAGGAGCTGCTCTCCGGCTGGTGGAGCGGGGCAGGGCTGGCAGCCCGGCTGGGTGCAGGGTTTGCAGCCATCACCATTCCCCTCCCGGGAGCTCACCCCGGCTGAGCCGGGCACTCACCGATGCCGCAGTCAGCGCCGATGTAGCCCGCGGGGCAGTGGCACATCCCCGTGGCAGGGTCACACGGGGCCCCGTTCCTGCACTCGCAAGCCCTGTCGCAGCTCCGGCCGTACCAGCCGGGGGAGCACTCTGCGGGTTAAAGGAACAGAGCGGATAAAAGGATGACAACCTGGAGAAACACCCTGGAAAAGCCCACCACGTGCCGTCACACACGCACTTCATCCGAGGGGAAGCAGGCGGCTCTGCTGGAGGCGGGTTTGTGCCAGGCTGGCGCAGTCAACAGGGTTCTGATCCACTTTGAGCTGCTCCAAAGCAGTCACGAGGAACCCAGATACAGCAGCTCACACACACGCATCCCTTCCAGAGCTGCTTGTGCCAGATGTGACCCAGACACCACGGGCTCCTGCAAGCCATGCTCAGGTGCCTCTGCCCTCCCGGTGGCACACACCAAAGTGCAGGAATGCGACAGCTTCTCCCAGTCCAAGCAGAGCCAAACTGAAACCATTCCTAAGCAGCCTCAAGGCAAACAAGCAACAATCCCAAGCAGCTTTGGAACGTGCAGAACCTCCCTGCTGAAGATGTCGCTGGGAATTTTTCCTCCAGTTCCGAAGGAAATCCCCAGCCTGAGCACAGATGAGGATGATGTTTTGGTTTCATTAACTCCTACTCGCCATTAGTCAGTGAGGGGCACTGCAGAGGTCAGAGCCTCTCGTCTGTGTGCAGGACCAGGCTTGGACAAGGCAGCAAGTGAGCACTTGCCCAGATGCACTCAGCTCCCAAGCTGCAAGAGCTGAGCAATGGCTAAGAACAGAGCGGGAGGAGACCTCGGCCATGCCAATGAGGACAAAGGCAAGCACCGCAAGACACCAGGACAGGCAACCCAGCAGAGCCTGTGCTTGGGGCCGCAGCAGTGAGCCGTGCTCCCCAGGCTGCGGCTGCTCCGGCGGTCACCCCAGTGCCATCCCTGTGCCGAGGGTGATGGCTCAGCACCGGCACCGAGCTTTCAGGACAAAGCAAAGGGTCCGTGAAGCAGCAGAGCGATGGAGAGGACTCACCCAGCTCGCAGGTGGGGCCGTGGAAGCCGGGGGCACAGATGCAGGCCCCGGTGACCGGGTGGCACTCCTGGGTGGCTCCGGCACACTGGCACATCTGGCTGCAGCCCTCACCGAAGGTCCCCGGCAGGCAGGCTGTCAGGAGAGAGGGCACTGAGCTCACACAGCAGGGGCTATCCCACCCCTCTCTGCAAGGCTTTTCCCCCCTTTTCATTTTAAGCCAGGATTTTGAAGCCGTTTAGACAGTGAGAGTCCTTTGCCGACCAAAAAGCAAAGCGACCCACATGCAAATCGTCCCTTGACTCCAGGAAAGACTTGGATTGAAAAGAAACCTGAGTACTTAAAGGCATTATCTGCCTTTTGCAATGCTGGCCTGACCTACCCTCATAATCCTACAAGCTGCCATCCCCACACACACAGACATGGCGAATACACCCCTGTTCTCTGGGTAAGGAATGTGCTCACATGCCTCTGGCCCTTCCAGACTTGCTCATACCCACAGGAGCTCATTTTAATACTGATTTATTGCTAATCCTCTGGATAAATACATAGCTCTGATTTCCCACTTGGCTCCCTCTGTGTTGCTAACATTGTGCAGGCATGCACCCAGCTGCCAAGACGAGAGCTGCTCCTTGGCACCGCTCGCTCTTGGGGTATTTTTTTTCCTTGTTTTTCCTGTTTTCCTCCTCTATTTTCTGCAGCAGTCCCTTGACCCATCCTGTCCCAGAGCCCGTCAGTGCGGCTGGAAGAGCCCATCACTCCCATCTCCATACCCTTTTCACATGCAGAGCCCGTGAATCCCGGCGGGCAGCCGCACCGGCCCGTGATGTGATCGCAGGGCGCTCCCCGGGGGCAGGCGCAGCGGCTGGCACAGCCCTTCCCGAAGGATCCCGGCAGGCAGGCTGTGGGAAAACAAGCAAAGGGATTCTGCTGTGGCTGCCCCGTCCCCGGCAGTGCTCAAGGCCAGGTTGGACACAGGGGCTTGGAGCAAGCTGCTCCAGTGGAAGGGGTCCCTGCCCGGGGCAGGGGTTGGAGCTGGGAGGTGTGTGGCTCTGCTTGAAGGGATGCTGCCGCCTCACCTTTCTCACAGCGCCGGCCCCTCCAGCCGCGGGGGCAATTGCAAGCGCCAGTAACGTGATGGCAAGTCACATTGTCCCCACAGTCACAGTGCTCTTCACAGCGTGCCCCAAACAGCCCCTCTGGACAAGCTGCAGGGATGCAAGCATGGGAGAGGAGAGAAATTACCCAAAGAAAAGGGGATGTAGGTCTTTTTTCACTGCAGTTTCTGCAGGCACACACTTGATTCCTGTCCCTTTCAACCCTGCCAAGCCATCGCGCTGCTGTGACAAGACCAGTGACATCTGCCACCAGCAAAGGCATTATATTATGCTATGCCATTGTATTATTATAGCAAGTACTGTGGCAGGACCCAGCAGCTCTTCTTGCCTTTGGTTTGGTGGTGATGGGCAGCACCAGCCAACCTGCATGGGCACTGCCGTCCCTCTCTGGCACAGCATCACCAGTCAAACCCGCTCAGGGTATATGGGTGTGAAGCGTAATGCTCATGGTCACTGGTTCAGTGTGAAAGTCTCTGTTCAACTGCATTACATGGTTTTGGAAGTGTTATTCCTGGCACTGTCCAATGGGAGCTTGGTGCCAGCACGGTGTGTTTGAATCACCATTGAGGTGTGCTGCTTTTCCTGCTGTAGAAGCACCCGGTTTGTAGCGCAGCGGCAGAGCAATGTGTGTGCAGTACCGGCACCGGGCAGAAGTGAGCACTGCAGGAGCAGAATCCAGGAAGCTCGTTTTCACTTCTGCCTCAGGAATGAATGCAGCAAACTCAGTGAGTCCCTGTCCAAACAGGCTGCTCGGCCACGCAAGGGATGGGTTTGTACATGTAGCTGTGGCGGGAGGTGGCTGCTCCCCGCACACAGCTAGGCAGGTATTGGCACACACAGTTCGCAGTACGGCTCTGGGAAGCCAAGGGGGTGATTCTTGCATTAAAATAACCCAAATGTGTAATTTCTGCATTTGTGGGTGGGTTTTTAAGTAACTGATGCTGAAAGAAATGCTGAAAGTGAACCTGTGGGTGAGCTCAGTGCAAGCAGCTGCGGGAAGGGGGAGGCAGGGAAGGCCCCCAGGGTGTGATGGCCAAACACAGGGACACTCGGAGCCAAAACCTCCCAGTGCCCATCCTTTGTAATGCCCAACCCAGCAGCTTAACGCTGCCTCATTGCAAGGGACCTCGCTGCTGGGTTCTGGGTTGTGGAAGAGTGCGACATGACTGCGAGGGGAGGATGTGGTTGCTTGCCCTTGGCTGGCACCAACACCATCTGCAACCTCTGGAAGCTGGGGCATGGCCGGGCAGGAAAACTGAGAGCCTTTGATGAGGCTGATGGCAGCTGCAGCTGCAGTGGGCAGCTCCCTTATGCCAGACAAGCAACAGCACTGCATTAGGACATGCCTTTTACACCGCAATTATAAGGAATATGCCAGGCTGAGGTGTCATGACCCCTGAAAGGGAAGAAGCTTGTGAAGCTCTTCTTGATGTGCTGATACTTGATGAAGCTGCTGTTGCTCCTCTTAGCAAGGCCAATAGCCATTTCAACACTTCCTCATAGTAAAGGGATTGCCAGGGTATGTGTTACATTTAAAGATAAGGTGAGCACAGCAGCCTGCCGAATGACAGATGTAATTATTTGCTGGGCCTTCAGACTGAACCCAGGGATTTAGGGCCTGTATAATCAGTAAAGTGTAGAAGAAGGAATGGAAAGATGATCCTTTGTTACTCTTAAACTGAATGGGACAGAGGAAGGGTCATCCCTGCCGTGTGTCCCTGCCTGGAGCCCGGGGGCTGTGCCTCTGGGGATCTGCCCCTAACCCTAACCCTCACCCCCAGCACCATTGCAGGCTGCTGTGTGACCCCTGTGTGCACATTCAGGACAGCTTTCAGGAGAGCAAAGCCAGGGCATAGAGCTGGAATCACAGCAGCCACAAGCCCTCTCTGCAGTGTTCCACTCTGATGCAAAGTAATGCAGCTCTGATGCAGCACCAGGGCAGTGATGCAGCACCAGGGCAGTGATGCAGCACCAGGGCAGTGATGCAGGTCTGATGCAGCACCAGGGCAGTGATGCAGCACCAGGGCAGTGATGCAGCACCAGGGCAGTGATGCAGCTCTGATGCTGCACTGCTGCAGCACACGGTGCCCATCCTGCCCCCGTGCCCCACTCACGGCTCTCGCAGCTCTCTCCGGTCCAGCCGGGCTGGCAGGCGCAGAGCCCGGTGCGGCGGTCGCAGAGCCCTCCATGGTGGCACTCACAGCGCTGCTGGCAGTCGGGCCCGTGCTGGCCCTGGGCACACTCTGGGGGGGGGCACACAGTAAAACACCACCCAGACACCCACCGCCCTCAATGCAAGCCCCATCACCGCGCTCGTGGGTGCGCACCGCACATCCCCCCCAGCCTCCGATGGAAACCAGGTCCAAAACGGAGCAGGTTTGTGCCAGAGCCCACTTGTGAGCGATGCCAACGCACCGGTACTCACCCCGCTCGCAGGCCAGCCCTGTCCACCCTGCGGGGCAAGCACAGAGCCCCGTGGCGGGGTCACAGGTGCCACCGTGCCGGCAGAGGCAGCGCTGGCGGCAGTTCTTCCCATAGGAACCTGCCGGGCACGCTGAGGGAAAAGCAGGCAAACATCCCCGTCAGAAAACGCCTCCAAAGGCAAACAGCCTGCTCTAAAAGGAAGTGGTTGGAGCTTGCAGTGAGAGGCAGGGAGAGGAGCCTATGAGCCCCCTGAGCTGCCAAGCTGCCCGCATGAGGACATTTGGTGTTTTAAGCAGCACAGGTGCTTAAGGCAGTGATGGCACATGGAACTGGTGCCTCATCCCTTTAGAGCCTCCTTAGCCCTGGTGGTGGCAAGTACCCACAATAAAAGAGGTTGGGTGAGTTCAGCAGCCAGAAAAGACGCTCATTTGGTAGCCAACGCTTTTGGTCTAAGCTGCAGAACACCCTCCTCTCCTCCCCCCAGACAGTGCCAGTGCTTGGCAGAGAAATAGAGCCATCTCAGCACATGAATGCGGTTTCCCTGAGCTGAGCCTAAAGGCATCACTGACTTGGTGTCTGGATGCTCAGATGGCAAAGCTGCTTCCCTACGTGCCGCTATGAAACTGCGGTTTCTGGTGCTCTTGGAGCAGGCAACCTCTTGGCTTGTCTCTCAGTGAATAAGCCAGGAGGGCTGCCCAGCTAAGTGTGATCTCGCCTGCAGTCTGCCCTTGCTATTGCACTGCCTCTGCTTTGTTGCAGTCCTGCTCATTGAAAGCTCCAGCCCCCAGAGAAACGGGTTTTTCCGTGCGCTGGCAGGGGAAGCAGCAGCCTGGGTTGGGAAGTGACCACGAGGTGTTTTACCTTGCTGGCACGTGGGTCCCATCCAGCCGGCTGCGCAGAGGCAGCGGCCGCTGACGTGGCTGCAGGTCGCGTTGTTGAGACACTGGCAGGTCCGGCTGCAGTTCTGGCCATACCTGTTCTCCGGGCACGCTTCATGGGAGCAGAAGCAGGCAGGGCTGTTAGCGGGCAGGAATGACAGCAGGCAGGCTCTTCCCAACCATCCCAAATGCCCGTGTCTGGGAGGGGAACCAACACTGGTGCAGTGCCTGCATAAGCTGGGTTTTATGGTGCTGTAATCTACAGGTGGCTGATGTCCAAACAGGGACGCTGTTCTTGTCAGCACTGTCACATCCTTCTGTCCGTTTGGAATCTGTTCTGCAGGATGCTTAAGCTCTCACTGCATTCAACAACGTGTTCAGCCCCCCCAGCCCCTCTCTTTGGACACTTTCCTGCCACACAGAATTAACTTCACACAGGGGAACAGACCCCCAGACCTCAGGGTGCTGGGGCTGCTCCTGCCCCACTCCACCCCACCCCAGACACAGGGACCCCTACCTTGGCTGCAGCGGGGCCCATCCCATCCGGGGGCACAGTAGCACTGCCCTGTTACATGGTGGCAGCGGGCACCGTTGAGGCAGTCGCAGGCTTGCTGGCACTCCAGTCCATAAAATCCATCAGGACAGGCTGGGAAAACAAAGGAGAAACCCCCACAACATGTCTTTACAGAGAGCTGGAAACCTCTCAGTGGAGGAGACGCCTCTTGGTGGCCTTTTTGGCTGATGTAATGCTGCATCAGTGTGACAGCCACCTATTAATGGCTCTCCCCCCAGCAGAATATCGGGTGCATGTCCATTACAGGTGTTCAAGGACCAGGACAAAGCTGTGGTGGGTCAGAAGAGCCACGGCATTAAGTTTCTGACCACAGGAGGCTGAGCAGGTTAATGGGGGAGCCAGGGACCCCTTTGTGAGGCTGCTCCAAGCCCTTTATACACCACGTGTGTGTAGGCAAGGAAGCTGTGCTTTTACTCCTTGCTTACACTATGATAGCCTTTTTTGATGTTATCTTAGACCTTTCCTCTTCAGAATTAAACCCAGAGACTCAGCAGCTTGCAGACATGAGGTTTTCCCCATCACTATCCCAAGAGATTCTCTTTGCTGTAATGGGATAGCGAAGTCAGACAAGGAGAGCATGGCAAAGTGTGGGTACTCACGGTGCTCGCAGAAGGTTCCTCGCCAGCCCGGGCTGCACGTACATGCCCCACTGACATGGTCACAGGCAGCCCCATTCTCACACTGACACCGGTGCCGACAGCTCAGCCCAAACCATCCTTCCGGGCACTCTAGCAAGAAGTAAAGGGGAATGAGGAACCTGTCCATTCTTGGTGTCCCTGGAGAGCTACGGTAAGGCAGGGTCTTGGGCTCTGAATAATAGTGTCTGGCAGCTGCTTTTTATAACAACCAGGGGCTCCACCTTTACAGGTGTACACCCAGCCACCCAGCCACCCCCAGGACAGGACCGAACTGGCAGCATCACAGACAGGGCATGGGGACTGGACTTGGGGACTGAACCAAGGAGCATGCTGGAGAAATCTGGAAGCTTCCTGGCCTGTCCATGCAATGCCCTCCCCCTGGAACACAAGCTCTGCTCAGGTGGAGGAGCAGCAGCACTCACTGTGCTGGCAGTGGCTGCCCGTGTAGCCGGCCTCACAGGAGCACTGCCCCGTCTCCGCGCTGCAGCTCCCATCGCTGTTGCTGCAATTGCAGGTGTGGGCACAGTTGGGGCCCCAGCGACCCACGTCACAGGCTGAAACACAGGAGGGAACTGATCCATCAACAGCTTGCGCTCCACTCGCCCAGCTGCCCCAGTGAGCAGAGCTGTGGGCACAGCGCTGCCTTCCCCCGGGGGTGTTATGGCCGCTGGTTACAGCTGATCCTGTTGGCCCTCAGAAAACCCCAGGGGACAGTGAGAGCGGGTGCTACATCAGCATGTGCTTGATGGGAATTCATTCTGCAAGCAAGCCCAGTACAGGAGGCAAGTGGCACCCGGTGGTGCTGGCAGGACAGAGGCGGAGAAACCTAAAGGATTTCAGAGTTTTGTGGCAGAGGCACAGCACGAAGATGCCAGTGAAGCCGATGAGAGCGGGGCGCTGCACAGCGTCTGCTGGGAGTGATGGGGAGCACGAGCAGGTACCATACCTCTCTGACAGTTGTACCCCGTCCATCCAGGGGCACAGCTGCACGTCCCCGTCACGGGATGGCAATGGCCCTCGTTCCCACAGCTGCAGCTCTGCTGGCAGTCGGCGCCGAACCATCCGGGGGGACACACTGTCAATGCAGACAGGGGGTAACTGCCGGGACACCGCGGTGAGGGCTGTGCTCCGCCTGGACCACGGTGTGCTCCGAGCATCAGTGCTCAGCTCCACGCTGAATGGGATGAGGGGCTTAGGGTTTTACTCCCTTTCTGCTGATGCAGAAGTTATCACTGTGGAGGTAGGACTAGAGAGGCTTCAAGGGAAGAACCTCGTGCCCCAAAGTGTGAGGCAACAGGGGTGTGCATGATGCTAAGCCTTGCTCTGAGGATTGCAGTGATGCCTGCTCGATAGTGGGATGCTCTGCTCCCTAGAGCAGGTACTCCAGCTTAACCTAAAGAGCCCCATCCCAACAAGAGACACCCATTGAGGTGTGAGGGTCCCCACGCAGCACTCACCATCCTGGCAGCGCTGGCCGGTGTATCCAGGCAGGCACAGGCAGGCTCCGGTGGTGGGATCACAGCGGGCACCGTTTGCACACTCCGGACATATCTCCTGGCAGCCTGGGCCCCAGCGACCTTCGGGACAAGCTGGAGCATGGGCAGAAAGAGAGGACACAGCCATCAGGACCACAGCCAGGGGTAAGAGGGAAGCAGCTATTTGCTAGTGCATGGAAACGAGTTCCCTTTCGCACTGCTGTCTGTGCTTCATCAAAACATGGACTTCAGTTTGGCAAGGCCTGGCTATGAGCAAGGGCAGCATCGCTTTGTTTGTTTTATAAACAGCGTGAGAACCCTCCATAAGTGCTATTCTGAGTTCACTCCACTGCTTTAATGCCAATTTTAGGTCCACATCTACTTGTGGGCTCCTTTCTAGGAAATGATGTTGCTGGCAAAGGGTCTTTGCATCTGCTGTCACACTGCTTGACATTAGTCAGCATTCCCAGACCTGCTTTTAGCTGCAAAGGAGAAGCATAAAGGCTAAGAACTGAGAAAAATGGGGCAAGAATCCTTGTTCCACTGCTCCTAAGCTGCTCCAGAGCCTGGAAATAGGCAGTTCAGAATGTATGGCAAGCACTGTGCATGTGTGGGTTTATTGCTTGGTCAAACTATTAGGAACAGGACATCTTTATATGAGTAATATCTTCCAGGTTCTGTAATACTGTATCATCATGTCAAAGTCTTTAAATGAGGATGCTATAGTTTTCCAGCTGTGGCTGCCCCATCCCTGGAAGAGTTCAAGGCCAGGTTGGACGGGGCTTGGAGCAGCCTGCTCTAGTGGAAGGTGTCCCTGCCGCCTGGATGAGCTTTAAGGTCCCTTCAACCCAAACCAGGCTGGATTCTGTGATTAACGCTAAGGACTGCAACAACCAAAAATACCCCCATCTGCACGTTTACTTGTGCTTCACACGACAACAGAGCTGAGGCTGTTCCATGCCTTACCCCCAAAAGCCGTGGCTGTTCTTGGGTGATTAATCGATGGCTTTAAGGCCCATTTTAGCACAGGACAAAGGCACCCAGGCCCCTCAGCCCTTCCCCTGCGCCCCTCCTGCTGCTGCCTCCTCACCTTGCGCGCAGTCGTGCCCCGTCCAGCCGGGCCGGCAGCGGCACTGCCCCGTGCTCCGCTCGCAGGGCGCTCCCCCGCAGGCGCAGGACTGGCGGCACCCGGCCCCGAACCGCCCCTCCGGGCACTCTGCATGGGGAAGAGCCGTGTGAGAGCCGCGCTTCCCGGGGCAGGATGCCAGGGACCGGCTCCTCCGGCTCCGGGAGGGAGAGCCCAGCCGGGAGAGGCGCCCAGGCTGCTCTGCACACTGCGCATGGGGTTGGATGCGACCGCTCCGTGCGCCACAGCGATCACCTCCAGCCCCAAACCTGCCACCCCACTGCCCTGAGCCCAACAGCTCGATCCAGACTGGTCTCCAGTCTGTGGATATGGCAAATTAACTGGGCAGCAGCCGCAGCACCCTGCAGGCGCTGAGGCAAATGGCTCAGGAAGGATGTGCCTTCACTCTGCGTCCCATAAACAGTGACTTGAGCCACTCTGCTCTCCACGTGCTGAGGTGCAGGTCTGCAGCCCCTCAACTTGTACCATCCCTTGACTTTTAGAAGATGCTCTGAGGGCTTTTTATGAATGCCTCCAGAATCTGGAAGCCAGGCTTTTAAGAAGCAGCAAGGTTTGCAGGAGGTATATTGGTGTAAAGCAATAAAGAAGGAGCATCCTCATCCACAGGAGGATCGAATGCTTCTTCTCCCTGCTCCAAAAGCCAGGGTGGTGCTGCCGATACCAAAAACCTTACTTTGCCCTTTGTACCCCGCCAGCAGCCAGCTAATTACGCACAGACTGAGGGCCTTAAATCCTCTTTGAGTCTCCCAAAGGAGCTCCATGCTCCTTTCTGTTCACTGCAGCCAAGGTTTCGGAAGGCTTCGGCAGATGCAAGCACACCAGCGCCCACAAATCACGGCGGAAAAGCAGCCCAGCGCGTGGAGTTCAAGCGACACAGTGGAGTTTTTGTTATTCCTCCTCTTTGCTAATTGATGGCAGATGTTTGTCTTCACCCTTTAATAATTTCCAGACCCGAACAACAGCCAAGAGCCTACTATTTCTATACAAATATTTGTGTTATTTCCTGTGACTCCCCCCTGCGGGCTCAAGCTCCTTTCTTAGGCTCTTTAAAAATACCCCGACCAAACGTGCCCAGCCAGACCAGGCGCCGCGGCTCCGGGGGCAGCAGCATCCCACCATGGGGGAGTCTGGGCTGCCGGGACCCCTGCAAGGGGGCACAAGGCCCATAAACGCAGCTCTCATCCCTCCTGCTAGTGCTATTCCTCTCTGTGAGCACTTGCTTGCATTTGAGCCATCTGTGACCAGCTGCAGGTTTTGTTCTGACCAATAGACCCACTATGTCCTATCAGTTGTTATGTGAGTCAATGGTGTGCCAGCAGCTTAAGGAGGTTAATAGCTGCAACTTCTGGGTTGGGTGTGGATGGAGGGCTGGGTGAACCATAACTTAGTGCAGAAACTCCTGGGATGCTCGAATCAAGATTCTGATGCTGACCACCTTAATGCAGCCTGTCTTCAGGTGTGGAGTCTATCTTTGTGCATCTTCTGTTGAATCCAACCGGTTGAAGAGGGATGCAGAAGGAAACAACCTCACAAGAGGAGGATGTTGGTTTTTCAGTCAGTGATCAGCTCTGAGCCTGGCACAAGGTATTATTTCCCAAGAGCTGTGTTGATGTTTTTTATTCACCTCCTTGTGCCGACCACTCAGTGCCTTTAGGTTCACACAAAACACCTTTGTTTCAAGAAAGCCAAGGTCTTTGACACCCCAGCTATTTCCCTGATTCTGAAAAGCTGCTCCCTCCAAGCTTGAGCAAGATGTGCAGTTTAGTCACTTGTACTGTCAACTGGCCCTTCATGTGTGAGGAATTGTTTCCAGCACATTTAGAGCCCCTGCCTTACCTTGCTCACAGTTTTCCCCGTGGTAGCCTTGAGGACACTCCTTCAGGCACTCCCCAGTGACATGGTCACAAGACACTTCTGGAGAGCAGCTACATTTCTTCTTGCAGCCATCCCCGTAATAGCCAGGGTCACATTCTGTTAACAGTCAGAAGTACAAAGCAAGAACATCTGGCATTACTTGGTTGACCCTGGAAGAGCAGTTTGTGATGGGCACTGACCAGCACCCTCCCGAATTGATAAATGTATGGATGAGGTCCAGCACCCACATCTACAGCCATTCCCACCCAGCTACGCAGGTTCTGTGCGCTAACTGAATGAACATGACTGGGTCTGATAGCAAGTTGTTTCCCTAAGCTAAGCAATGAGAGCTGAGACAGTTTGAAGAGGGCAGAAAGCGAGCTGCACTTTTCCCACTGAAAACTAGCCACGGGAAAAGAGGACGTGGGAGGAGAAAGGGGGGGGATGCTCTGTGAATGCTTCTGGGCAACTCACGGGTCTCGCAGCGCTTGCCGCGGTAGCCAGGTTTGCATTGGCAGGAGCCGTCCCTCCGGTCACAGTCCTGCGTGTGCTCCTGCACGCAGCGGCACTCCTCCGAGCAGCCGGCGCCGAACGCCCACTTCGGGCACGCTGATGGAGCGGGAAGGAGCCGGTCAGTGAGGGCAAATGGCACAAGGCAGGGACAGAGACCTCGCCGCCCTGCCTCCCTCGTCCCAGGGATAGTACCCATTTAATCTCATATACTTATATATAATCATATAGAGAGAGAGATATAGCTCTATATAGATAGATATATCTATAGATAGATTTATATAGATAGATATCTATCTATATAGATATATACATATAGATAGATATATCTATAGATAGATTTATATAGATATATATCTAGATATAGATATATAGAGAGATACAGATATATAGATATAATGAAAAAAGTGAGGACAAGCATACCCAAGTGGCAGTACCGTCCGTATAAGCCAGGATCACACAGACAGGCCCCATAAATCCGATGGCAACGACCCCGGTTGGCGCAGTTGCACTTTTTCCTGCATTGCTTCCCATAAAATCCTTTAGGGCACCCTAGTAATAGGGAGAGATTTGGGGGAAGATGAGCCAATTTCAGCCTGTTGTTTCATTTCTGGCAGACCAAAGGAAAAATGTACCCAAGTCAAAGGTGTATAACATCAGATATGAACCCTGGCAAAGGCTGCACTGTCGAGAAGGATGCCTTGTTTTCCAAGCAGGAATGTGCTTGTGTCAATATGCAATAAAAATAAAGGGAAGAGCAATCGGATTCCCTGCATCAGCTCAAAATCAGATTGCTTCAGCTGTGGCATTCCTGTCCTTGCAGAGAGTGCATTTCATTTGCTGCCACTCTCCAGCCAGATGAGGTGCCTTCAGGGCACCCATGAGCTCCATACCCAGCTTGAAGGGGTGACACCGGCCATGGGGTGACAGAGCCCTGCAGGGCTCTGAGCAGTCAAGATTTCCATATGTGAGAATAACTCATAGGCTGCTCCTATTGGTAAATAACTGTGATATTTGCACTATTAAGGGAATAAAATTATTATTCTTTCTCTGTTATGCTAAAGGTCTTACTATTAGAAGCACATGGCAGACAGGCTGTGTCAGCAGAAAGCTCCGGCCAGCATCTGGCCAGGCAGCACGTGCCTCCTCCCGTAGGACAAGAAGAGCAGGCACTTCGAGCAGAGGAAATGCCACCCTGGCACAACAGACCAGTTCTGCAGTGTTTATATTCAGCTTACCTTCCTGTTTTGACTCTGTACCCCTCCTTCACCTCCTTCCTACAAAAGGAAAGGTCAGGGTATCTCTTGCATTCATTTGCATTCTGCTTTGGTCTCCTCCTTCAGTAATGGTTCCCATATGCTCCTGGCCAATTGTCTGAAATCATTTTGTCTCTGTCTCTTACTGTCTCACTCTGGTTTTAGCTTATGCCCCCCAGATTTTAACTCTTTGGGAACAAGAAACAAATGCCAACAGCGACTGACACCTCCTTGGGTACTTTAGGTAACTATTGTCGCCTTTCAATGCCTTGGGTTTTCTTCAGATGAACACCTATTTTTTGACATTCTTTTGTGTGTCTGCCACTGAACATGCGGAAACTACAGATGGCTGCCCAGGGTCATTGCTGAGCAGCAAAGAGGGACTGCAGAGGTCTTCCAGTGCAGAGACAGGGTACGCTACCTGGAGCACTGTTTTGTGGGTGAAGAATATTGTTTACCACCATTCCCTTGTTAAAATTACATTCTCCCTTACACTGAGTCAGATGGAGCAGGGATGCATTAGAGCCACTCACACCGGGATGGCTCAACAAAAGATGTTTTCAGTGAACATCTAAAAAGGGACTAAGAAGTAAGATGCTCTGTGGAAAACATGTTAATGCTTCAGAGATTAACATCAAAGAGTGGTGTCGAGATGGTTGTAAGAGACATTTATCAAATGGCAGCAAACGTTCTACTAACACGTCGAGAGAAACAGGAACAGAGCAGCTCTGCAGGCTGGGCAGCATCACCTGTGACTGGCAGCTCAGGCATGCGGCTATTATGTGGTTTATGGAGAAAAGAGAACTTGTGCTTGATTTCAGGGCACCGTCCTGCCTCGGTGCAGGGGGTGGGACAACCCGCACCACCGAGCGCTGCGGCTGAAGGGGGCCATGCACTCACCATCCTGGCACAGCTCCCCGGCCACGCCGGGCGGGCAGCGGCAGGCGCCGGTGCTGGGGTCGCAGGAGCCCCCGTTCTGGCAGCGGCAGGACAGGCTGCAGTTCACCCCGAAGGTGCCGGCTGGGCAAGCTGGGGCGAGAGAGAGATGAGGTGAGGGGAGGCCCGGCCGCCACCTCCGTGCATCCCGGAGCAGGGATGAGAGCCGCGTTCTCGCCCCGCATCACGCACTCTGGTTGCAGAGGATGCCGGTCCAGCCCGCCGGGCACTCGCAGCCGCTCTCCTCTGCGTTGCATGTGGCTCCGTTCTGGCAGTCCTCACAGGTCAGGCTGCAGTCGGGGCCGAACGTGTGCTCCAGGCAGACTGCAATGAGAGGTGCTGCGGTGAAAAGCCTGCCCTGAGCTTCATCTTGGGGAGTCTGGGCAGAGAAACCCCATGGTTTAGTGTGTGGTGTCCCTGCCATGGCAGGGGGTTGGAACTGGATGATTATAAGATCCTTTCCAACCCAAACTATTCTATGTGCAAAGCTAAATGCTTCTGTGCTACAGCACAGGTTCTGGGTATATAGAAAAGCCACTCAATACGTTTGTGTCTTCACCAAACACCCACAAACCCAACACGCGTGGTTTAGTCTGGACTGCCAAGCCAAGCATGCCATTTACTGCTGCTACAAAATGCCCACCAAATTTTTCTGTAAGGGTGTGCTCTCCTCTTGCTTCCATCTCTTCCTCCTCTTCCTCATAGTCATCATTGAAGAGCTGGGTGAATTCATCCCGCAGGATTGCGACGTGAGGGATTGGGCGGATAACGGGGCGCCGACCATCCAGAGCTTCCACCGTGTCCTCTATAGCTGGGGAAGCAGTCACAGAGATCACAGTGTCAGTGGGAAAAGATCTCTAAAGGACCAATAGTAGGACAGAGCCTCTGCAGCTGGAAAGGGGAACCAGAAACGTTTACACAGGGCTGGTGCATCTGATTTGGCCTGGTTTGCACCATGGATTTCTCCACATCTCTAAAGTGTTTGCAACTTGCTTAATCGTTTCTTTGGGCTAGAATGGGCATGGGCCAGCTAAATGTGCTCCAAATCCATGGGAGATGCTTTGCTCTTAACCTTGACACACTTCTGACCACAGCCACTCGGATTCCTTGAGTTTTCAGGTACCTGGAACGTTAAACAAGAGTGCCCATCCCTTAATGCATCCGCATCGCTTCTCAGCTTGGTTTGCCTTTTAGATAGTGTATCTGTCACACAGAGAGAAGGGTTTCCTTCCCTTGCAGGGCAGGCAAGGGTTAAAAGCCAGGCAATCAAGCTAAGCCCAGGCACACTTGGGAGCCAGGGCAGGGCCTATAAAAGCCATGGGCTGGGTAAGGGTCCTGCATTTGCTGCAGCAGGGGGATGCTGGATGTTGTTCTTCTGGGTGCAGACCTCAGAAAGCCCTCGCAGGAGCCTGGGTGCTGCTGCTGAGGGGTTTGCTGCCCTGCTAAGTGAGTAAGGTGGGTAGCAGTGTGGTGGTGGGATAAAGATACTTAAAAATAGAACCTATTATTTTTTACATAGAAAATGTGTCAGTGCCAGTGACTGAGGAAAGGGTTTGGGTTCTTTTGGTACTGTGGAGTCATCGCTGCAGGCTACTGTAAGTGGAGCTGTGCTACAACCCCCTGTGCTGCTTTGGGAGGTGCAGCAGTGCCGGGATGCACTTACAGATGCAGCTCCTTCGGTCTTCATGTAGCTTGTATCCGATCTTGCAGCTGCACTGGAAGGACCCTGGCTGGTTCTGGCACGTGTGTTCACATCCCCCATTGTTTGCAGAGCACTCATCCACATCTAAAACCAGTGAGTATTCCAGTGTAATAGGAGGCAACATACAAGACAGGAGCCTGTGTATGTTTCTGCCCACAGATCAGCAATAGGCTGGTGGAATCCTCTCTGCTAGTTATATGAAGTCATCTAACCCTAAAAATTGAGTGAGACCACCTGAGATTCAGGGGGCCAGGGTTTCAGTTCCCATCTGTCACTGATTGAGTAAAAATGGGTGGCTAAACCTGGGTTTTCACCTGTGAAATGGTATTGGAGAGCTCTGCTAGGGAGAATAACTCAATAGGAGGAAGAGCTCTCCTTTCTGCTGAGAAACTGGAAGAAATACCTGCCTGCTCCCAACCAGGTAGGACCATTTCCTGCTCTCTTTATTAAAAGCTTGTGTTAGTCACTGTCCCAGCTGTACTTTATACAGGCACTTCAATTTCCCTGCATCTCCTGGGTGAAAACTGTGGGCAATGTAGGCCTCTGGGGTTGAACATGAAGTGATTTCTGTGAATTAATGAAGTCAGACCTGGACCAACCCCCTTTGAGTTATCCCAATTTGAATTTGGGGTGTTCTAAAGCCCCACTCCTACCCTTCAGTTGTGCCGGGTGGGTTGGAATAGCTGAGTTGCCTTAACCTTAAACTGATGAAAATAGAACCAGAATTAGAGGAACCCATTCCATGCATGTCCCTTGCCATGCTGCAAGGCTGAACTGCAGCATTGCTGCTCACTTGCAGGAGTCCTGCTAGGTGCTTCTGCTTACCATCACACCCACAGCCGTCCGTGCCCAGCCGGTACCCAGCATAGCAGGCACACTCGTAGCCTCCAGGGTAGTTGTAACAGTCTTGCTGACAACAGTGAGAACCGCTGTCACATTCATTGACATCTAAATAAAAACCAGAGGGTGCTGGATGTTAGTACCCATCTAGCTTTGCAGTGGTGACAGTGCTTGTTAAAGCTGCTCTGTGACGAGCACGTGCTGAGCTTTTCCTCATCTGACTGCCAAATGCTGACCAGTGTTCTTGTTCCCCTCTTGACATGAGTGAGCTTTATGTTAGCAGATCTCCTCTGCACTGTGCTCCCCAGCCAAAGGAGGAATCCCGAATCCCAGAGGCCTGTGAGAAGTCAAAGGTGATTGAGATTGAGGCTTGTGTGCTTACAGACAGGGGGGGATTCCAACTTGCTCTTGCTTTCTGATTTACCCTGTTACAAACAGTGATGTCTAGTTCAGAGGTGGTGGAGAACTGTGGGGTTCCTTCAGACTGCCTCAGAGTGAAGTCTCTGAAAGATGGATCTAGATAACCTGGAGCAAGCAGAGCTCCTGCAGCTCCTTCAAGCCCCTTGTATTTATGGGACTCCATTTGTCCACTGTGAAGTGGAATTACTGTGGTGCCCATGTAGTAAAGGGGTTTGAAGCATCCCCCTACCACTGGAGGAGGCTGCACCAAGGAGGTGCTGGGCTACAGAAAGATTACTGGGCTTTGTAGTGTGCAAAGGAATAATGTTCTTTTAGAGCAGACTCCTTTGGGAGAGGAATCACCCCCTTTGCACAATAAAACCCCTCTGCGTGTGCCCATGGCAGCCTGCTAAGGAGTTTTTGTTCCAAACAGATGCCCTGGACTAACATGCTCCTGGAAAAGTGCAGAAGGATGGTGGTACTGAGCTAAGAACTGAATTCAGGATCTCTGGAGTAATATGAACTGCACCTCCACACTGCATGGAAAAGTGTAAGTACTGTTTTGCATCACTGAACACTTATTTGGTAGCAACCTCCTGCTTGCTGGTCTTATGGAAAGAGAGGTCTTCAGGTATAAGTGCCTCAATGCACAGACCCTGCAGCTAACCTGCAGAGCTATGTCACCTTTGGATGGGTACGCAGCTTTGGTGAACAAGTCTGAGGCACAGGAGTACACCCCAGCCTCACACAGCAGTGCAGGAAATGTCTGGGTTGTGAGCACTACAGTGGGTTTCCAACTAGGTTATTGCTCCAACAAGCACAGAATGATGCAGTATAAAGTGCGTGCCTCAACCTTACAGCATTCACAGAGCTCAAGGTGCATTTCACCCTTACCTCTCCATTAGCCCATACTTTACAGACTGAATGGGGCTGAACTACACTTGGCTTGTAGCTAATAACTCCTCCACATCACTCATTTATTCAAATTACACTGCTGCTTCCTTTGAGATAACAGGCAAGATGGTACATTGTGAGCATTGGCCCTTCTAGACGTTAAGCTCATAGGTATCTGAGATGCAAGTCTCTATCTGCCTTAGATGAGATTCAGCAGGGAAAAACTACCTAGTTCTGAAGTCAATGTTTGCTGCCCGAGTAGGTTTTGGGGTTTGAGGAGGTCTTAAGTAGAGCAATATCTCATCTCCTCTTTGCATCTGTTTCTAGGCTTGTTAGCCTGTTTGTAGTGCACATACACATAGCAGTTAAGCTAGAGATCCTCATCATTGCTTGTAGAAACAAGATATGGACCTTTTCCCTTGCCTTACCAGTGCATGTCTTCTGGTCCTCTTCGAGCCGATAGCCAAAGTTACAGGTACAGACCGGGCCGGAGCTGGTGTGGTGGCAGCTATGGGAGCAGCCCCCGTTGTTGGCTTCACAACTGTTCACAATCTCCATTTCTATCCCTGGAAAAGACACAGGTTAGGGCTGTGCTGCACATCTGTGTACATCAGCTGGAGCTGGCATCCACAGCAGCGCAGCCCTGCTGAGGAGCAGAGATCTGCAGCGGGGAAGGATGAAGGCAGATTTGCTGGGCTGGGAAGTGATGTATAAAAATACATGGAGGGATCCCAGGCAAGGCCCCATGTAGCCCTTTAGGGACAGGCTCTGGACAATCTCTGAGATGAAGCAGACTGCAGACAAAGCTGCTGCCATTCCTGACAAGCTGCAGGATGTGCTGCCAACCAAAAGTTGGCTCAGCCTTTGTACATACAGAGCTGTTCTGATGCCAGCTAGGAATGGGAGCAGCAGAAAAGAGCTAACTATGGAAACATCCAGATGCCTACAGCTAGCAATGTGAGTTACATGTCAAAAAATGGCAGGCACAAACATCAACAGCAGCCATAGATCATCTCAGCTTGGCAGGCTTTCTGTAAACTTGTCTGGTTAATTAAGCTTTCTTAAACTAAAAGCAACTTGTACCATGAAGCTTCGACTCAATCCTCAATGCCAGGAAAAGAGTTTCTGCCTTCAAGGATGTTTGTGAGGTTTTTTAGAGTGTTCAGACCCAAGGAGGATGGAAAAAGGGGAGTTTGATGCTTCCCAATGGATCTGCGCATGTCAGAACCGGAAGCTGTGCCATGGTGGTTCTCTCCGTGCGCTGAATGCCGACAGCCCCACTCTGTGCTATCGCTGCTGATGTGTCTTAGCTGACCAAAGATGCATGAACAGTCTGGCTGGCTCTTGCAATAATAGTGTTTATTTCTCCTCCTGATGGGAGCAGATGTGATCACTTCACTAGCTCAATTCCTCCTTCAGCGACACATCTGCAGCTCACTGAACTCATCCAGCAAAGTCCCCAGGAGCAAAACTTGGCCTCTTTGGAGCCAAATAGCTCCAAATCATTTGCCTAAACCAGCTAAAGTAGCTTCACAGTAACTGTAGAGATCAGACCAAGTGTTTTATCCTGGTGGGAGGGTGACCAGCCCCAGGTCTGCTTGTGAAAGTCTTCAATACCGATTGCTCTAACTTGGTCCCACCAGTTCCCAAGGACAGTGCACAAGCACTTGCCTGCAGGAGCAAACCCACCTCCCGTCCCCCCGGATGGGGTCTGCGTGCAGTACTCACGGTAGCATTGCCTGCCATCAGCCCCCAGCTCGTAGCCTGGGTTACAGGTACACTTGAAGGAGCCCCGGGTGTTGAGACACTGGTGCGCACACATGGCCAGTCCAGCCAGGCATTCATTCACATCTGCGAGAGATGAGCAGTCAGCAAAGCAGGTTGAGCCATGAACAGTCTTTCAAAGGGACACTTGTTTCTATCCTCAAGTTTTTCACCAGTTTCTTGCACCCTGAGTGCTCCCCTGGGGTCAGACTAACAAAGAAACGGAGTTAAGAGCTCGGAATTACAGTAAATCTTCCTAAGAACTTGGATCACACAGAACTTAAGTGTTCCAGACGACTCAAGCAGGGCTGTTGGCCAGACACCGAGTGCTTTCATGCCACCCCTTCGGAAGGCTTGTGCATCGCTCCATTACATCCACAAACACCAGCAGTTAGTCTGATGGGGCATTGCTGCACGCCATGGGACACAGTTGGTTTTCCCCAAGAAAGCTCTGCCAGGGGCTCACCTTCACAGGCCTTGCCATCGGGAGCCAGCCGGTAGCCAGGGTGGCACTCGCAGCGCGGTGTCCCGCGGTGGTTGTGGCACCGGTGCATGCAGCCCCCGTTCCTGTCGCTGCAGGGGTTCCTCACTGCAGGTCAAAGCAGAGGCAGGCTCAGTTCATGCCAAGCTCTTGTTGGCATGATGCTTATGGCAGAACAGAGCATCAAGCAGTTGTCCCTAGCAATGAAGTCTGTGAAAGAGCAGACAGAAAATCTCTGCTACTGCACTCTGGTTGCTGCTCCACCCGGGGAGGAGGATTTACACAGTGTGAGATCCTGCAAAACCCAGGCACTAATCTGAGCAAAACCGTTCCAGCAGAAGCTTGGCATGGGCATGCGCCTCTAGGGATTATAGAGCAAGGGCTAGGCAAATTTGCTTGGAGTGCTCCTAGCAAGAGGTTTGCCAACCTCTGACCTGTGCCAGGACCTGGACAGATGCTACAAAACCCTACTGACGGCTGTGTTTTTAATACTCCAGTTTTCCCTTCTCCCTTAGCAACTTCACAGCTAAAGATTTTCCCCCTCCTGCTTCTTGAATGCCAATTGCTAGGAATAATAAGATTAAACTTCTGCTCTACATCCCCTTCAGCTTCTCTCCCTCCTTCAGCCGGGAGCAGGTCAGCCAGAAAGCTGTCTGCAAGCACAGGGAGATGATCCCATCCTGCTGCTGTTCCATCACTTTCTCAGGAGCATGTGCCTTCATACCAAGTCATTTTGGATGGCTCCTTAATCTCTTCCCAGCCTTTCAGAATAAGCTGCAGAATAAGTCCATAACACAATAACATGCTTTTTTTTTATTGGAGATAAAGACCCAAGTCTGATCTCTTGGACATCTGAGCATGTAAGGGAGTGCTCCCATTCCCCCAGCTCAGCTCCCCTGGGCCCAAGCAGATCCCTGCCTCCCCATCTCCCCTTGTGTGCTCAAAGGGACTCACAGACACAGCGCTTGCCATCCTCCCGTAGCTGGTAGTTGTGCCGGCACTGGCACCGGTGCTGTGCCAGCGTCACCTGCACGCAGTCGTGCTCACAGCCACCGTTGTTCAGGGCACACGAGTTCACAGCTACAAGGAAAAGGGATAGGCTGTGAAGAGCAGCACCCGGTAAGATCAGCTCCACAGCGTGTTGCAGGAAGGGAAGCTGCTGCCCATCATGCTTCTAGCAAGCATCATCCCTCCCCGAAGGGTGCCCATCTCAATGAGGGGGCTTCTTGTGCTGCGCTGTCGCTGGAAGTCTCGTTTTGTTCACAGAGGCACTGCAGGTGCAATGCCACAGCAAGTGTAGCTTCATTCTGCTCAGAGAGAGTTGCACTGGGGTGTATTCAGGTTTTCCTGTAACAAAATGATAAGGAGCATGAAATTGCTGGCTCTGTTGTGCAAAAGACCCTGATTACGCAGGGCAGTGGGTACCATGAATTCTTATGGGAGCATTTAAGGAAAAAGGTTTTAGGCAGCATCCTGCATGTCTGAATTTCAAGCCCCCCAGCTCAGTGCTTTGACTAGGAGATTTCTACATGACACTTAAGGCACATGTCCTATGGCTCGTCCACACTGCAAGTAAGTGATGCTTTAACCAGCAGTCGCTGAGCTGAAGAAAGGCTGGTGTGAGCTGCGATTTCATCCTCCAAGGAGGCTGCATTGGGAATTGAGATTCCCAACTGGTGTTCCTGGCCACGCTGCACCGTTTCTGTGTGGCCCTTGCGCAAGGAGCTTTCCTGCCCAGAAAGATTCTCAAGTCAGAAAACAGAAGGTTTTGCCTAGGCTACGGCAGAAAACAGATCTCATGACCGAATATGTGGACTGTCCTGTTCTTTACAAGCTTGCTATCATTAATCAGCCTTAAAATAGCCTTCTCCTCCCTCCTCTGATCTTATAATCTGGCCCTTCTCTGCAGGACAAGTGATAAAAGCATGATGTTTAACCAGAGATGCGTGCATCTTGCAGCCAGCAAGCGGGGAGGGCTTTGCCTACTCATTTTTACCAGGCAGCAGCTATCCAGGATCACTGACCTTGGTGTATCTAAGAGAAATCTGAGCTAGAAACAAAGCTAGAAAATAAATCTGGAGGAGGATTCATGGACACTGGCAGATAAATCATCTTGGGGTAATTACATAGCTCCAAAGGGATAAGTCTCCTTCTAAACCACTGCGTGTCTCCCGAGTTAGCCTAACTACTCCTTAATCAGCGAGCATCTCCAACATGCTTCAAAGAGAGGTGTCCCCATGGGGTTGGGAAATTGGCCTTTAAAGTTGGTTCTTCCTCTCAGGAGACACAAATGGGCAGGAAAGGCACCGCATGCCGCACACCAAAGCTGGGTGGGTGCGACACGGCTAAAATCCAGCCAAGGTCTGCGATGGAAACTCGGACCTGGTTTTCATAAGCACAAGTACAAGGAGCTGTGGTCTCACACGTTTCTGACCTATTTTTCAGACTCCAGAATAAACCAATGTGCTGACTGCGAGGAATCTTGCGAGAAGGTTAAAAATATCCCTAATGGAAACCATCTCTCCACAAGCGAACCCTTCAGGTAACCGTGGTGCCCTTGACAACCTCGACAGTTTGGCGAAGCAGGCGAGCTGGAAAGCACGTGCTAGGAGAAGTTCCTGCTTTTAGCAAGGTCTCCATGCCCTAAGGTGAAGTGGGTCTGTGGAGCAGCCGTGCCCAGGATGCGGATGAGCGGGTGGCTGTGGGTACTAATGTGTTGCATTACTTGGGCTGCACCAGAACCTGGTCTGAGTATTCGAAAGAGTGTTTTCTATACATAAACCACTGCAAGTAATTTGATTCAACCTCTCTTGTACATTAGTGAAACCCAAATATTTGGCACAGGAGGAAAATAAAAGGCAAAACTGTGTATTAAATTCTCTTTTCTTTTTCAGCAATAAACATGCCTTGACTCAATGCTGAGGAGTTCTCTCACTTCAAGCTTCCAAACCCCAACTTCCCATTGTATGCCTCTAACTAAACAACACTTGGGGGAATAGGAGCAACTTAATAGGGTCAAAGTATTGTTGTACCCAACGCAAGCAGTTTATGTTAGTTGTGCTGACAGTGTTTCCTTTAATCCATTTGGAAGGAAACAACAGAAATACTTGATGTTCCCCAAAAGTTACAGGTCAGAGTTAGAGCACTCAAGCTTTCGCAGTAATGGGTGGTCATTTTAAAATATTCTGCTATATTAAAGCATTTAATGGCATATATGAAAAAATACCATTAATAATGTGCTTGTTGGAGTGCTTTTCTAAAAAAGAAGTAAAACAATGCTAACGCCTGCCAAAACATTCCTTCATATGGGAAAAGTACTGGGTTGACGTTTAATGAGTCAATGCAACTCATGTCTAAAATAACCTCCTGGTATGCAGTTATTTGTATGCATTTGTAGTCTAAATAACTGGCCTTCTTGCATACCTCTAAAAGACAACTTTTAACATTCTCTAAAAGACAGCAGAGTGCAAAGAACTGAAGTCTTTATCATACAGAATTTAAGGAGACTGACATCCCGTAAGGTTGGACACAGCAGACCTTCCAAAAGCATTTTATATATCTTATTTCTAGTGAACATACTCTTCAGGACTAATAACCCCATCTGAGCCCCCCATTCGTGATTGCACACGATGATGGAGGGGTTGGCACACGCTGTTGCCTCAGTCACCATGGGTATGTTCCAGACCACTACGGGTAATGGGAACCAGAAGTCCTTTGCTGCCAAGAGACTTGAGCACGGCGCAGAAGCGGCTGGCATCACTGGCTATCTGGTGCTCATAAGCTATACAGGACTGGTGGCACACATGGGATGTAAAAGCAAAGCGATCGCATCCCGTGGTACCAAGCAGAGACACCCACAGCGCACGGATGGGCTTGTTTGTGCAGCCCCGCGGTTCTGCTGAGATAAGAACTAATTCAATTTGAGAGTCAAGAATAATAAGACAAAACAAATGAAACGCATTAAATTGGTCTGGGTGTCTCCATCAAAGAAAGAGCCTTCTCGCTCTGGCCCTCCTTGGCTGGCTTCTCGCAGCGTAGCAGCCTGCAGCCCTCGCTGCTGGCCTTGCTTTAATTACTGCTCTTTTTTTGCTGTTTACAGAAACACTCTAAAAATATTTCCATTCCCAGATGCTTTTCCTTGCTTAACATTGCTGTGAAAGCGGTGCCAAATCCAGTGTCATCTTGCGCATCACACAGCTTTTTGCAATTAAAGCTCAGACACATTTTCCACAGATGATATTTTGTCTGCAAGAGGGACCTCATTTCCATCCCCTCTGTCTGAAGGGAATGCAGCGCTGCTGAAAGGTGCTAACTCCTAGGTTCTGACCCTCTCGGGCCCAGGGAATGAACAAAAAGGGATGAAAAGGACACCGTTACTATCGGTTGCACGTGGGAAGCAGGTCTGAGAAGTAGCATCCTAACAGAGGAGATGCCACAGGGAGGTGGTGACAAGATTTCACTCGGTTTGACTCAAACTTCTCCTCTTTTCCATCTGTATCACGTCTTCAGAGCTAAGTAATTTGCCATCAGAAGCAGTGAGCTAATTAATACCTTATAAGCAACCTTAAGGAGCTGGAATTGAGCAGGACCTTCCCTTTTGGGATAGCACAAAACCATGGACTCTAAGAAATAGCTGAGGAACAGCTGAGAAACCTGCCTCTGGATAAGGAAAAGGTCACATTCTCTAAACCCTGCAAGCTGTCTGTATAACACATGTAAACTGACAACCTCTACAAAGCACACAGGGACCATTACCCTCTGTCACATAGGTCAAGCCCACACAAACTGTTACACATCGTCCTTCTGTTCGCTACACAAATCCCTGCTACATTTCAGATTTCTTCATTTAAAGTACTCTTAATATAAATAGGGATACATCATGTAATCCCAAACTGATTTATTCTAACCTCAGACGATTTCCAGAATCATGTTGTGTGTTAATACAGACCATCTCTCTGCTCTGCAGGCCAATGAAAGCAATTGGCTCAGATTAGATTCTTTGCCTTGGACTGGATTTCATCCCTCCGCTGAAACAGTGGAGAAGGACCTGAAGATGTCAGCTTCCTGCCTCCTGCCCATGTGGTTCTGATAAAGAAAGAGGTAATTTCAGGACGTCCAGTGACTCTCTTTGTTCTGTTTCACTTTCAATAGCACCATCTGCCCTTTTTCTTCCTTTTGTATCAAACTCATCAGTGACTTGCTATATTTGAACAACAAAGACGCAATAAAAGAATCTTGCATAACTGAGCTGCACCAACCGTGGGTGAGACCTGCTGTGAGGCACAGAGCAGGGCACAGGAAGGTGGCTTTAAGCCGCTGTTTGTGCTACCCTGAGCCACAGGTACAAGTTGAGCTGTCGGGGGCTCTTTGGCAGCATAGGTGCATCTCTGGGATGCAGCCCGTGCATGTCTCAGCCTCGGGCTGAAGGCTTTGCCTTGGCTGTCAGCTCTTCTTCCACACGCACAGAGGGATTGCTGCAAGGCTTCTGGAGTCCCTTGCTCACAATGACTGATGAAGCAGATGTAGCTCTGGTAAAGGAAGAGATCCTGAGGTGTGAGCATGGGGACACCACAAGCCTGCTGTCATCACCTGCCCTCGATTCTCCAGGCTATGTCAGAGATGGGATTTAAGAACACGCTGTTGTCCTGAGCACAGAGCCAAGCTCGGCTTGTGCTGTAAAAGGGACCAAAGCCCTTCCTTACAGCTGGCCTTAAGCTTGGCACGTGGAAAACACCTTCCTCTTCCCCAGGGGTGCGCTGGGTGCTCCTGAAACGGGAAAACTGGCGTGAGAAGGGAGGGAGCGCTGGGCAAGGCCCCTGCCTTCCCTGCTGCCGCCCGCACGCTGCCCTGCGAGTGCTGCCTCGTCAGGAACGCTGCCCTAATGAAAGCCACGTGCGCTCCCAGAGCAGAGCGAAGCCCCTGGCTCCGCGCTGTAAATGTTTATGCAGCCCGAGCACTGAAGGGAAGAACCGCTTGCATGTACTTGTGAGAGCATCACAGAGCGGGAGCGCACGCTCCGGGTCACCACAGTCACCCCTAGAAAGCTGCCTGCCCCGGCTGCACGCTCATGGGCTCGCTCTCCAAGCACTGGGGAAGGCGAGAAATGGGAGAGAGCATCCCACTGCCACGGCCGAACCCGGGGTGGGAGCATCCCCTCGGCAGCCTCCCATCGCCACCAGCCGAGGTGCTGCCCTTGCCCAGGCTCTGCTCTTCCAAGGGCATGGACATTACACGCATGGGAGTTGTGCAAGCTCAAAGCGCATCAGGCTGGGCTGCTGTATGTGACTGCTGCCGTGCAGCCAGCACACACAGGGAGGACAGAGGTTGGGCTCCAGCACCATCATACAGGATCCATAAGGGCAGAAAGCACTATGGGACAAGTATCAAACAGGGCGCTTCTGAGACACAGGCACCCACTGCACAAGGTACAGCCACAGACACTGGCAGAGGAGTAACCAGCAAATCTGTGCCCTACTCTGAGCTTTTATGAGACAAAGGTGTTTCCTTCCACCCCTTCCTCAACCAGCTGAATCAGTCAGTACGAAGCTGTTGCAAAGGTGTAGCTGAGAGACACATGCACACAGATGTGTTAAGAACAAAAGGCACCAGTCCTGAAGGGAGAAAGCCAGATTCTTATTCCCCTTCTGTTTGTTGTTATTTGAGCAACATATTGGACAGTTATGCAGTGAGAGGGGTTCTACTTGCCCTGCCTGGGCTGCATCAACTTCCCCATGCTCTTTGTGGCTCACAGGGCACAGCAGATCCTGCCAGCTCCCTCCCCAGAGCTTCCAGGAGCTGCCCGCTTACTCCCATAGCAGATCAGGTTTCATGAGCAGGGACCCCTTCATTTTGGCAGATGAATTCCAACCCTGTGCACACGATGGCAAAAACTTGCTCAGAAGTTTAATGCAAAGCAGGTTTGCAGCGCTTGGTGCGAGCAGCCCAGCAGTGCCCTGCACGGCACAGCCACGCAAGCTGGGAAGCCTAAAGAATGAGAGAAAAGGATGGAAATGGCTTTTAAATGAGAGATTCCACTCTATAGAGATCCCTTTAATATTTCCTATGGGAATAGTTTCACCTTCTGGGGCTGACCCCGCTGAGAACGCTCCTGATTTTGGGTTCCCTCATGTGTTATTCTATGAGGCAGAGGCAGCAGGATCACCACGTACCACAGAAAGAACTACACATTATAGAGGCAGTTATTAGATGACAGACCACATGCACACACATGCAAACAGTAGCAATGCGTGCCCATGAACACAAGTTGACGTGTTCGGTGCTAGTGGGCTGTGAGTGGTTTGGCTTTAAAAACACAGGGCACTCAGTGAACTCGCACCTTAAATGTACGTCCCACTGCACTTCAGAGGGGCCCCGTGGGTACTGCTTCCTTCCATGGCTCTTTTCCCTGCCCGCATCACCATTCCCACCTGGAACAACCCAGCCTCACGCAGTCGTTTCAAGCCAACTCTGGCATGTGACTATATTCTGAGAGAAACCAGCAAATGGCCTTTGTAACAGCATCGCCCGGGAATTCTTTCCACTTGTACGAAAATATCCCTCAAAAAATGGAAAAATGTGTCAAACCAAGCGCTGCAATAAAACCAGCAGCAGATGCTGGAAGGCAAATCCAGGCTCCAGCCTCTGAGCCTCCAGTCTGGGGCTGGCAAACAGCAGTGTTCCAAGAAATTAGCCCAGGAATCAGCCGCAAGCCAAACCTGGCATCTCAGCTGCAGTGTCTGGACACACACCATCTGAACGGCTGCCTGACCAACATCCCATGGTCCACACACAGCCGTGCTTATTTCCACTGGCTGTCACACCCAGAGCCTAGGGAAACAGTTGAGATAACAATGGGACTGACTTGGACTTTTTCATAATCCATTTGTTTCATAATCCATCATTTCATTAGCTCTTTGTTCTGAAGATGCTGGACCTGATACACCCTCTATCAAAACCAGAAGCACCAGAGCACTGGAATTTACTTCTCCTGAACCAGGATAAACTGAGGAACTGCAAAGATGTCAAAATCACACTGAAGAACAGCAAACACTATCAGTTCAGTAACAAAAACACCTTAGGGAAGACAACCTGGATCCTGACAAGCAAAGGAACATGCAATCCATCACCATCATCTCCAGTTCCCTGCACAGCGGGCAGATCTGAGCAGATAAGCCAATGGAAGCATTCTTATACAGTGTCACGTACAGGTAGGAAAAGGGCTATAGAGAACTGGTGATTCTCCAGGGATCTGAACCTGTGACTTACCAATGCAGGTCCTGCCATCCGTGTGCAGGCGGAAGCCTGGCTTGCATTCACAATAGTAAGATCCAAGGGTGTTGACACATCTGTGCTGGCAGCCCCCATTGTGGACTTGGCACTCATCAACATCTGCAGAAGAAAAGGGAAGAGGGGAAAAGATTCAGGGGAGTGGGCATGATGGCCTGTGGAGCCAGGATTATGTATCCTCTGCGGACTGAGTCCAGATTGGAGGAATGAATGCAGAGGGAACAGAATCACTATTTCATCATGTTCAATCAGTGAAGCTATTTGAGACATTTCAGGGACAAGCATGCAATCAGTGAACAAAAAAAGACCCCCAGAAGCATCACTTTGTCAAGTGGCACAAACCATCCTTCATCTCACTCACCTCCCAAAGGTCACTTTTCCCATTTGCTCTAAGGTTATGGATTAATTAATGTTTTATACTTCCTTACTCTTTATGTGTTGAAAACAGGCTGAGATAGCCCATTTGCTGCTTATTACATGAGGAGCAAACCTAACATTCAGTGGGAGCAAACACCCAGTGATACAGAGTGAGGGGAGGGGAGGGATGCGGAGCAGCAGAGGCTCTCATCCTGCCCAGCCACACTCATCCTCCAGCAGCACAGAAGCTTCCAGAGCTCAGCCAGGTGCCAAAGATGAGAGGTTTTGCTGTCTCACTTCTCATCTCAGTACATGGCAGAGCATTTAGCACATTTCACACCTTTTATGCCTCTGGAACAGCTCTGATCTGCTGCAGAAAGGCAGCACAGAGGGGTATCAGGTATGAGCATCCTGTGCTCAGAACTGCTGTGAGACACTGGAGGTGAGAAAGAAAACCCCTTAATGCCTGGAGAAAGTCATGACAATGGGTTTGCACATAATCCATGCAACACTTCTGATGAAGTCCAACTGGACCCCAAACACAAAGGGGGAGATTCTGACTGTGGCTCAAGCCTGGGGAAACTGAGGCAGCCATTCCTGCAGCAAGGAATCCAGTCACGGCCAGTTCAACTGGTAAAAACCACAGCCCCCAAGAAAAGGGGGGGGGGGCAGAAAAATCCCTTTCTCTGAGCCAGGAAGATCTTCTGCCAAGTGCTGAGCAATCCCACAAGGGCTCAAACGGGAACTGGTCCATGAGGTCTCGGTAAAAAATCCTGTTATATTTTGTTATCAAAGCTTCGAATCCAGCAGCGCGTTACAGAGAGCGAGATTCTCCTCTTTCCCAGACCTACAATTGCCTTTAAGTGCTGGGAGCATCTTCCAGAACTGAGAAGTGTAGGAACGTTTGGAGCTCCCAGTTACACGGTGCTAACTAAGATGCGTATCAGAAGATTGTCCAAAGCAACTGCAAGTTTCTAAGACAAAAGACTCCTTCACAGGGCTACAATTAGAAATAACAGGGATGTTTGTGGCTGCAGCTGCACAGCTCCTTAATTCCTGCCGTCTGTGAGGGGGTGCACACATATACCTGTGTACCTTTCAGACTGTAAAGGATGTAAGATCTCCCTCCGGTCAGAAGGGGATCCGGATCACGTTCCCGCTGCCAGCAATAAACCCAGCCAGCAAAGCCCTTTTCCATGGAAAAAACACTTCGGGAGTTTGGGGTTTTATCCTTCCCATGCACGTTGTGAAGACACCTTCAGCACGCACAGCTATTTCCCGCTGGCACAGCGAAGCTGGATGGCGATCCAGAGCCAGGCTGAGCGCTGAACCAGCACCGTTTCATCGATGACTGTTACTAAGAAGATAAAGAAACACTTCCTCAATGAATCACAGCAGGGTGTTGCTCCCGGCTGTGTCTTTGCAAGCCAGCGGAGCAAAAACCTGCTCAGGCCTCACCCTCCTCGCCCAGCATCGCCTGCTCCGACCGGATGGCAGCTCTCAAGGCCCATCAAAACCACAGGAGAAGGAGAAACACAACCTGGGCTGAAGCCAGTGTGCAACTTCTGCACTCGTTCCATTAATTTCACATTCATCAGGTTAATTACCAACTAAATCAGCCAGCAGCAAGCAAAGGGACTGGGTCGGGGATGAAATGGGAGGCAAAGTGGGAAAGGAGATGCTTGACTCTGTCTTTCTCTGCTGCACAGTAATGATAGAAAATGACTGTTGCCTCAGAATACTTTTCATTAGAAGGCTTCTTGCTGCTTAAAAAGTTAAAACCTAAGGATCAGAGCACATGAAAATGGTCCTTTCTGTCCTGGCGATGCTCTCCATTGGAGCTGAAGTCTTCATTAACCCAGCAGGAAAGAACAATGTCTATAGTGCCTTTGCTCATTCCCTGGGCTGCAGATTCCTCCTCTGGGCACTTTAGAAGGTTTTGGTATTTTCTTCCTGTTTTTTTCCAAGACACTTCATTTTGAAAGAAGGGAAAAGGAGCAGATTTTTGAGGTGAAACATAAGCTTCAAGTGATGCTCTGCAAAGAGCAACACAAATCCAAACCAGCTTTCCGGGGGGAAAGAATGCTGCGGCATGAGTCTGAGATGCCTGTCAGAGCAGCCCAGCTCTAATTAAATCATTCTCCTCTGCAAAGGCTGCACACAGTTTTCATGCTACAGAGCTCTGGAGCCCCTGATGCCCTCCCTGATGTGCATGCAGCAGGGAAGCAACTCACCAGGCGCGATGCCAGAGCATCCATCCTCCCAGGTTCTTCCTTCAACAGCTCTCCAGCCTGCATGGTGGAAGCGTGGCCAGCCCTGTGCCCAGCCAGCCACAGAACAACAGATATTGTGGCTTTTGGGTTTTCCCAACATCTCTATGGGCAGAACTAGCTCTAATACACAAAATTGGCTCCGTTCTGCTTAAAAACAGGAAAAGTGGGGTTTAGGAAGATTTTCTATGGAGTTTTCTGGTCTGAATTTCAATGGATGTTCCATTGCTTTATTTCAGCTCTAATCTGAAACCGTGGAGAATTTACTGTCCAAAAAAGTTAGTGATGTGTTGAGTAAACTTCTTATTTTCACCCCATTACTCATACTCGGTAATTATACATCTCTTCTCTAAACATCTCTTCTTTCCCCTTTGTACTTTTCACCCTCTAAATCCCTGTAATCGCAGAGGGCTGTCTCCATCCCACCTTGCCCTGGGAAAGCGACCGAACTTTCCTCACTCCTCAGCCGTAGAAACACCCATCACCATCCCCCAGTAACCCACCACGTCCCATTTTCCCTTCTGGAGCCTCGCTTATCACCTTCTGCAGCAACACACAGATATTTGACATACACTGCACGATGGTGTGAGCAAAATGAAACCTCCCACCCTCGGCACCCCTGGCAGCAGGGCAGCGGTGTCATCCCTTGGGTTTATACCTTTGGAAACGGCACAAAGTTTGCCCAAGCACATTCAAACTCCAGTATGAGTGCACAGAGAGAAGAGGCACCTCCTGGGAGGATGCTCTAAGGAGAGTCTGTGATTTCTGGTGGGGACTGGTTGCTTTCAGTCCCCAGACTGTGGAGTTATGGGCTGCTAAGAAGAAGGAGCCACAATGATGGTGTGCTGGGGCCTGGTCCAGATTTAAGAGGATCTTTCTGCCCTGCCCTGGCTCATGCTGGGGAATGGGAATTGTTCCTGCTCCACTGGACACTCTGGGCAGCTCTTGCCTGGCCATGCCCAAGCACCAGGGTCCATCCCACAGCCCTGGACTGCTCCCTGCAACGGACAACTGAGTACGGAGAGAGGAAAGGGGCAAGAGCTGCATTTCCCACTGGGACCTGTGATGGAAGAGGCACCATTCCCAGCACATTGTCCTGGGAAGAGTAAGGGTGCAGGCCCACTGGTCACCCCCAACAGCAGCATCTCCAGCCTGCCCCAGGGCTCACCAGGGCATGATTCACCAGGAACATGAACCACAAAGCAGCAGGATCATCACTGCAAAGGGTCACGTTGCCCTCGGTGCACGTCTTGGCAGCACAAAGACCCGAAACCCTACGTGCCGCGTTGCGAGATGCGGTTTGGGGCACGCCGAGGTTGTTTTTCCTATTGGAGAGCTGACAAAGTCTGTTTGAAATTAACACACCAAAGGAGGGAAATGAGAAGCATACAGGCTGTGCTTCAGAGGAGGCTGCCTGACACTGAGCAACCGGAGCCTTGCCAGGACAGAGCACACCAAGCCCACGTGCCGGGATGCTCCGCCAGCACGGGTAGGGCAGAGGACACTGGCCAAAGCCCACCGAGGCAGACATGAAAACCAAACATAGCAAGAGCCTGGGTGTGGGACTTGGCTTATGGGGTAGGGAAACTTCCCTGCTGCTTAAGGAACCCGGAGTTCGTGTCCTCATCCACAAGGACACGGGCTCACCCGAGGAATGGCTGATGCTCCCATCAGCCTCATCCCTAACAGAAACAATCCATCGGACCTCAAGCACCATCTACGTGGACCAACAGGGATAATGCTGTGATCAAATGTAGGGAAGATGAACAGAAGAACAAAAGGGAGGCGGGTGTGAGGAGATGACTTTGGTTAAGTGCACTCCCTGACCATGCACGGGTCCTTCGAGAAGCAATTCAGTGATTTATCTCTGACAAGAGCTCCGGGTAAAAGGAAAGAAAGTGGCAACAGCAGCCCTGCAAATTACTAAATATTTGGTACAGAGGCAGTTTATCTCCTCTGAAAGGAGGAGACAGATCCCAGCTGGAAGCACAGGCAGCAGATAGCTCAGGTCCACTCTATCTGGCCGAACAGCAGTGCCAGGCTGTAATCCCTGCGGCAATTAGCCCGGGTTACAGAGCAGGGCTGCAGGGAAAAGGTTAATTGAAATCCATCAAAATGAGCGTGTGTGGGACTTTGTGACTTTATCTTTCCAGTACCAGTTTGTTGAAGCCAACTCAGCAGTTTTAAGAAGTAAAGAGCCTGGAAGGAGACAAGGAGCAGGATGCTGGGCGGCCAGAGCCTCCACCAGGAGGAGTTCAGTGTACCAGATGAGAAACCAATCTAGATTAGGAGCTCCACAGAGCAATTTGGGCTGGCATCCCTTCCAGGGCAGCCCCTCCTAGCCAGATAGGAGATGCCCATAGCTTTCCCTTGCTTCCAAAGGCGCTCCAGGAACAGATGCATCGGTTTATAACAATCCAACGAAGTGAAAGTGCATCAAGGAGCTGTTCTGCCTCAGTCACTTGCTTTGTCCTCAGCTCACCTTTCTCTGCCTTGAAGCACAGTGGCTGGGAGTTGCCCAGCTCCTTTCTGCTCACGGCTCTGGCTCTGGATGGTGCTGATAATTGCTCAGGGATTACACAGCGCGGAGCAGAGGTGCACGCACTGACAGGCAGGCAGCCTGTGCTCACCCACTCAAACCACCCCCCATAGCTCTGCCTCACCCCCTTCCCTGGGCAGGCTGCTCTTTTGACCAGAGGTGTATCATCAGAGCCACGTCGCTGTGGTCCCTGTGCCATGCCGTGGAAGCTGACCCCACTGATACACACTGGGATGTACCAGCTACGCTCTATCCTGGTTCCTGACACGCTTTAGAGAGCCAGAGAGAGAATAACCCTAATCCCTGGCAGTGTTCAAGGCCAGGTTGGACAGGGCTTGGAGCAAGCTGCTCTAGTGGAAGGGGTCCCTGCCCATGGGAGGGGGTTGGAACTGGAGGAGCTTTAAGGTCCCTTCCAACACAAACCAGTCTTGGAGTCTATGATTAATACTAGGTACTAGGTCTACATGACTGTGACAACTTAATGCAAGTCCCCAGCAGAGCACAATGATCTCCCCTGTCATGGTGAGCTGTGTAAGGACATAGTGCACAGCACTGCAATCAGCCACTCCAAGCTAGCCAAGGACCCGACGGGGCCCTGTTTGTACACAGAAGGCATTTTAAGGCACTCGAGGCCTCAGTGAAGTGCACACCGCTGTTACACACACCAGCCCTTCCTTCTCCATCCATACAATGAAACTGCCAGTGAAACACACACAGAGCAGTCTCTTGCGCTTGCTTTGCTGAAACACGGCTGCGTAGAAGCCAGGGGCCTGGCAAAAGGGAATTCTCTTCCAGTAAACCAGCACACGGTACTGTAAAAGTCATACAATGGAGAGAGTGGCTGCTACTACCTCTTGAAGAGAAGCTCAAGCAGCGAAGAAAAAATCATCAGCCAAATCCACTGTAAATATCAAGTTCAGGATGAGCAACACAACATCCTGAGCTGGCTCTCAGGAGCTTGTCCTGCAACAGGCATATGAGCTAATGGAGTTGGATGGAGACGGCGCATGCAATTGAGTTCAAGACAAACATCTGATCTATAAATAACAAACCAGCAACTCACCCCCTGTCTGAAGGTCTGGCTTAAATACATCAATATCACTTTTATAACTGACTGCTTGGGGCATTTATTTATTAGGATTATCTCATGATGAAATAATGCATTCCTCGATGTCTACATTACTCACAAGCATACAAGGTCTTTAGCAAATGTCACATATTCTCCACTATTTCCTAAATCTTCAGGAAACCACAAACCTTCCCTGACACTGAGCCAGCTGAACACGAGGAGGCAGGGGCAGGTATGTGTGTGCTCACAGAGCTTGCACCTCGCTCAGCAGCCCCATCACCTTCACACATCAGCCAGAGCACGGGAACATTCTTCTATTGGGAAGCAGCAACAGGAGCCGAGCGACTGCATCCCTCCACCTGCTCCAGGGGAAGCTCGGGCTGGCCAAGCGCTGCCCACACCACGACTGCCTTGAGATGCCTCTGCTGGGGGGTTGTTTCAAGCAGCCCCTGGTCAGTGGGACCATTTCTGCACAGAGAAGTCACTACAAGACATGGCTCAGCCAGCTCTCGCCCCTTCGCTCCCCAGCTCCTGGCACCAGTTACTGCTGCCAGAGGACACCCTGCGCACCTAAACCAGCAATGAGCAATGCTCTGTCCCCTGCAGGACTGCTGTGCAGCACTCACACAGCCCAAACCCAGTCTTGCAGAGGGAAAGACAGACTTCTTTTGTACTCATGGAGTGCCAGACCCAAGCCCCGTCCAACCTGGCCTTGAACAGTGCCAGGGATGGGGCAGCCGCAGCTTCTCTGGGCAGCCTGTGTCAGCACCTTATTTTTCATGATAAAAGAGTATTATATTTCATTTACTGTCCCAGACCAGGATGAGATCGTTTGGAACTGAGTAAAATCCCAATCCACGTACCCTAACAACATACATGAGTTCGCAGCTCACAGTAGCTACTCTTAACCAAGCCAGATTGCTGCACAGCAGCTGATGGAAAGAAACTCCAGTTTCTTTCCCCGAAGCAACCTCTCAGAACGACCAGCCCGCCTGCGGTAACGCAAAGGGGTGGTTCAGATACAGCTCCAAGCAGGGCAGCAGATCACCTCCCCCCCTCCAACCTCTCGGTTTCCCTGCTCCCCACCTCCCGCATCCCCCTGCCCTGCTCCGTACCTGGCCGAGGCGGGGATCTGCCGGCTCCGTAGCCCGCCCGCCCGGGGTAGCAGGGGTAGCAGCTCCTCCAGAGGTAATGGTAGTGCTCGCCGCCGGCGCCGGAGATGCTGCCCAGGGCGGCCGCGCACCACAGCATCACCCAGAGCGCCATGGCTCGGCGGGGCACCGCGGCTCCGCGGCCCGGCACCGCTCTCCCTGCGGCGGGACGGGAGGAGGGCGCGGGGATGCGGCAGGAGCGGCTCTGCCCGCAAACGCGCGGTCCCCGCCGCGCCGCCCCTACCCCCGCCCCGCAGGTGAAGCCAAACCCGGCCGAGCCCTCGGGAGGGGCCCCGCGGGCGGAGCGATGCCGCCGACGGGGCGGGTTTGTGCTGACGGGGGGGCCGGGATCGGCTGCGGGGACCAGCGGCAGAGCGGGGGCTTCCCGGATCCCGGGCTCGGACGCTGCTGGGCACCGGGAGCGGAACGCCGGGGACACCGTCGGGGCGGGCGGAGCAGCGGTTTCGGTGCCGGGGCTCACCGTGACCTGCCGGAGGGCAGCGTCTGCGCGCCCGGCCCTGGAGCCTCCGGCAGCGCCCTTCGCCGGGAAATGAAATCGGGTGAGGAGCCAGCACAGAGTCCCACGGGAAGCCCTCGTGAGCCGCCTTTACCTGGAGCGGCAGCGGGGGCTCGGTTTTCCAGGAAATCACTGCTTTTCCCCGGGTACGTGATGCTTGGCAAGTGCCTTTTAGGATCACACCTCCCCAAGCAATGAAACTGCCACAGGCAGAAAAGCCTTCACTGGGCTGTGCTTGAAATCATGAAATCATCAAATCCATCACCAAATTTAAGCCCAAAGGAGGAACAGCCCCTCCAATGAAACCCATAATATCACCGTTTCCTGTGAGCTGGAACTCAGAACTTTATTTTACCTTTTTCATTAAACAAGAAGCACAAATGGCTCATTGGGTTTTCCAGGGGCCAGCTCAAAAGCTCTCTTTAGCTTTCTGGAGCGTTTTGAAACGATGTGCTTGCAGGGCTGAGCTGGGCCTGCCACTCGGAGACGTTTTAGCAGTGTGATTTGGCTGTAGTAAAATTCCAAATTAAAACTCGTGGTTTAGGCTGCAATGAATAGAATTCTATGAAAAGCTTTTGAAACACGGAGAGAAGCTGAATCCAGGAGGAAAACAACAATTTAAGGCTATTATAGAATCATAGAATCAACCAGGTTGGAAAAGACCTCTAAGATCATCAAGTCCAACCTTTACTCCAGGACTGCCAAGTCCACCACAAAACAACGTCTACACTACTGCTGCAGTGGCTTCCAGAGGAAGGTAGCCTCTGGTTATGAGTCCCCTTTGCAGAGTGCTCCAAGCAAGAGCAACTTGCTAACATCTCAGGGATCTCTTCAGCTCATTACCGAAGATATCAGAGAGGAGATAGGGCACAATAGGGGCAGGAGGAGGGGAAATGCTGGAGGGGCATTACCAAGAGGCACCAGAGATCACGCCAGCACTCCCCATGCCCCCCAGTGAACCATCACCGGTTGCAGTCCTACGCTGCCATCCTATTAGAAACCACCTTCAGACCTACCAAATACTTCACCCAGTTATGAAAAATAACACACTGCCAGACGTCAGGAATTGTCACTGCTGCCCCGGTTCGGTCCCTGGGGATTCTCCCGCCGAGCAGCGACATCTACGCCGTTACAACGGCCAGTGTTGACATTTTTCCTGCGAATGTTTCAGCAGCGTTGACTCACAGAAATGAATCTTGCCACAGAGCTATGACAAACGGTCCAGACCCACTTCCTCAGCTCAGCAATGTCATTAAGGCATTGTCTGTCTGAACTGATCCTTGCCTGGAATGCGGATGAATCACAGCGAGCGCAGCTCTCCCAGGGACTCCCTGAGTCCACAGGCACCACCTGAAGGGACCTTGCCGCTGGCTCCACGACCTGGAAATTCCTCCTGCATGGGCACGCACAGCTCCCCACAAAGAGCACTCGCTCCTTGGCCTGCAGAAACGAATGCTGGCACAGGCAGTGCTGCTCAGCAACGCCTGTGACAGACTTGTTCAGTCTCACAATTCCTCAGACTGTTAAATAACCCCAAATAGCGCTGAGAGGCTCAGACTTTTCCAGACAGCTCCGGCCTGTAACACATGGACCAAAAGTACATCAGGCTCGAACATAAACTGAATTCTGCTTATGTAATAAGTTATGCTTGGCCAGGTTCGAGCCAGCTCGAGCTTCCTTGTCACCTAATTTACTTCAACTGATTAAGTACTAAGAGCTGGTTTGAGTATGGCAACACATTACAGTCAGCAGCAAGTCGTTACTGCTTCCTGTGGACTGAGCTGGGAGAGGCATCCAGAGGGTTCTTGAAACAGGGACCGAGCTGGACCGAACCTGTCCCTCTCATGGAATTTCATTCAGATTCAGTCTCAGCATTAATCAATTGCCATAAGGACCTGAACAAGTTACAGCTGATGATGTGGTACTTTGCAGTTCAAAGGCGTGTTATGTCCCAGGGTTGATTCATCCCTGCACAGACATGGGTCAAACCAGCTTATGTGAATGCAAGTCCTTCTGTCTTCATCCAAAGATTACCTAAACCTTGAAACAAGTTTCTTCTGGTGCTTGAAAGGATTCTACAGTTAAAAGGATTCTACAGTTAAAATGGAGAATATAAAAGAGGGCAGAAACATGCAAGAGGTGGATGAAACAGGGAAGGAGAGCCAAGAGAAGGGGCTGAGGGGGATTCTCAGGTTCCCTCTGTCACCCTGTGTGGTGTGTACAAAGCATGTGGCACCAGCTGGCATGACGACGAGCAGTGCAGGAAGCTCTGCTGCTCCTGGCTCCTGCATCCCTGCGCAGAGAGGAGCCAGCAGTGATTTGTGCTTCACGAGTTCTGTTTCAGCATCTTTTACCTGCTTCCCCCCCCAGGGGCACATTTTGCCCATTCAGGGTTAGCTTTCACCCTCCACTACATGGGGCTACTGGGAGCCAGGTTTTCTTTCATCTTATCATCAATTTTAACCAAAGAAGGTACCACAGAAATAGCTTGGAGGAAGAAACATCCCTAACGTTATCGCATAACGTTGTGTAGCAGGACCTCAATCTCCCCTAGAACTTACCACACCTCAAAATATGTTATAAACAAGAAAACCTGTTTGTTTCCTGTATGTAAAACCCCCAACCCATGAGTTCCCAAACCACTCCACAGGCAGCTCTCCCATGATAGATAAAGTTACAGGAATACTGGAGAGGCTCATGGTTACGAGCACAACCATCCTGTATCCAACAAAACAGAAACCCTCTCCAAGCACTGTGTATTACTGATACTGGTAAATCACATGAGCATTAGCAGTGTATAAAACACATTTCTTTGCAACTCTAGATTATCAGCGCAGGTTCAAACCATGCAAGTAAAGAAGAGATCTGGTACCATCCAGGGACTCAGTGCTAGTATGAAGTGAGCTGGTCTGACAGATGGGTACAAGAGCAAATTGGCTCCTTTCCTGGTAGCATTAGCAAAGCAGCCCAGGACTGAATAAATCCAAGGGAGGATTTTCTTTATAACTGTAATCCCTTTGGCTCAGAAGGGAAAACAGACCGGAGAGCCAAAGGCTGCTGCTGCCCGTCTGCCTGCTCATGGGGAAGGCCAAGCCAGGAGTGGTTCTGTAAGGTACCAGGAGAGGTCTGAGCTGAGCTAGCACTGTGCACACACACGTACATGCGACAGACATGTCCCAAGCCCATCCTGTGGTGGATGTTGCAGGCAGTGGGATCCTGTAGCTCAGAAGATGTCCTGTGTGACCCTCTCAACTTGTCCTTGCAGCTGACAAATGTGCTAAGGACTGGGCAGCCAAACATTTCCAAGTCTTATATGTCCTACATTTCCTTCCCGAGCTGCAGAAGAGCATTTACGTTCATTTTAAGATCAGTCATCAGCCAGCCCTGGTGTAAAATGAATTCCCTTTTTTGCCCTTTACTCCTGCAATGGTATCCCCCTCCTCCCTTATTTCTACTGAGAGCAGACATAACTCGACATAACTGAAACCAAGTCAGGGCAGGAAAAGCAGCCAGCTCTCCCTGAGCTATAGCATCCCTCTGTTTCTGAGCAGAGTTTTGGTTGGGAAGTCCTTACGCAGCCAAGATGAGCTGGTTTCCTTCAAAAGACAGCCTACCTTAGGAGCAGACACTGGGTGTTGGTGGTTCTCTGCCTCCCCACACAAAGCATCCTGCTGATGTTATTCCATAGCTATTTGTTTAGCAGATCCATTAGCGAGGAGGACTCCGAAGAGGCCAGCCTGACATCACCCCGAGCCAGGAACCGAGTCACAAGGGTGAGGCAACGTGAACTGCAGGCCTCTGAACCCACGGCTCCGCTGCTCGGACCACCCTAGGGAGAGATGCAAGGTCCAAACCTTCCTGCCCAGCACAGAGCCAGCAACAGGCTCCAAATATCTAAGCTCGTGTTTTGAAGCCCAGGCTGCTTTATTCAGGCTCCATCAGGACTTTGACCAAGAAAAGCTGAATATTTTGCAAACTGTAAACATTAATCAGTGCCTTCTGTCTTTGCTGAACTCGTCCATCTGTACAAACAGGGATCTAATCCCCTCCGCTCTTCCCAATACGTGCATCAGCGCTCAGGGTACGGGGAGAGAGTTTATCTGATGTGAATATAAAATGAATGTAAAGAGTGGTGAGCACAGCAGGGTCCACCCCTGCCCCATCAGTGAGGCTGGTGGAGAAGGGCAGAGTAGCGAGAGGATAACAAACACCGGCTTTGCGGTGTATAGAGATTTGCAATTGAGCAGGACAGGAGTATGGGAGGGATGCGGCCCAATGCACATCCTGGTCTCGGTTAATTCAGGGCTTAATCTTTTCCATGCTCTTTTTTTTTGTGAAATGAAACCTGCAGACAGAATAAATGCTCGCAGAAGGAATAAGGAGCTCCAGGAGGATGATGGCAAAGGGGGTTGCCATCTCCATTGCAACAAGGGGGCGACAGGGCCCCATGCCAGCTCTGTGGGCACGACTAATTACAAGTAATTCCAAGCATATATACAAAGGGATTGACATTGTCTCCTCAAATACAAGAGAAAAAGGGATTGTTTGTTTCCACCAAAATCCTGAAGCTCTTAATCATCCGAGAAGCTAATCCTCATCAGGGGAATTCTGGGGAAACTGAAAATATTTGAGCTTGGCTAAGATAAGGGCAGAGCTGTTTATT